ATATATAGGTAAAGATATACTTTCATGAACATAAATCCCTTCTTTCTATAAAGTTAAGACTCAAAGTAGTCTCTTCAATTCGCCACGTCATCAACATTATATTAGCCGTTTGATCAATATGTACATAAGATATACACCACTGGATCTTCATTTATCTATAAGAAAAAGGAAAAAGGTACACCGAAGGTCCCTCAACTTGTCATCGGGATAAAAAACATCCTCGAACCGCAAAACCAGAAATACGGGGTCCCTTAACTATACAAAATCGGTCACCCAAAGTCCTTCGGTGGTTTTGACCCTGGTTTACGTGGGCCCCACATGTCAGCGTGCCACGTCAACTCCCCTTTCCCCCTCTTCTCTCCCTTCCCTCTCTCTTTCCCCTCTCTCTCACTCTTCTCTCACAGGCCGGCCGGAGAAGCAGAGGCACGGAGCGGCGGTGGCGGCAGGCGGGCGCGTGCGCGGCGGATGGGGAGCGGTGGCGGAGGCAGTGGAGGTGGCAGCTGTCACGCCCAGAAATTCACGAACCAGAATTTCTAAGCTAAATGTGCATTAAACCCCTGTCCAGGACTAGCCAGGGTACACAAACGACAATTGTTGACATACAGATCCACGTCTTACAAAAATATAAAAGATTACAAATACAACGGAAAAGATAAAAGCGAGCTAAACTTGGAAGCTTGACTTCAGCAGCGGGGTGACTCCACTCCACAGGCAATCCTTGATGGCAGCGACGAGACCAACTTCAACAAGACAGCTCCCACTAGGAAGATCTCCAGCTCTGGTGTGGGGGAAAAGAGAGCAAGACTGAGTACTACCCACTGTACTCAGCAAGTCATACCGGAAGAGGAGATATGATGCAGGATATAACCAAAGGAGACTAGAGATTCTTTTGCATAAAGCTTGCATTCAAAAACAGTAGTTGAAAGTAGTAAAACAGTTGTAGAAATTAATCAATATTAACCAATCAATGTCCAACGCTACACCAAGTTGCAACAGGCCCAACCAACCACCTGAACTAAACCAGTTCATTAAGCTAAACTAGGGGTGAGACTAATCACGGTGAATCTGGTTGATCGCCCATAACCGCGGGCACGGTTATTCAAATAGTTTTACTCTGGTCAGAGGTGTACAACTGTACCCACAAGACACGATTCCACACATGTCGCCATGCCCCGAAGTACCACCATGGCACTACAAAGGGGGAAATCGTGACAAGACCCTTCGTATAACCCGCCCCTAACCATTCACACCACGCTAAGGTTTCACCCCCACCCCTCAAAAGGCAGTGGGCAGTCCCCTCGTGCGCCGCGGTGAATCCGGCAGCTGGACAACCAGACACCCCAACCGACCCAACTCCATCACGCCCACCCTCGCCACCGGTGCCTAGGAAAGGGTCGAGCTATACTACAAGTCAAGCAGTTACCCACTCTCGCTTGTGGTAAGCACGGTAAGTCTCACAAGGTTTCCCGTGAACCGGTCCTTAACTGCCATGGGTGCGACCAGCAAAACCATGCACCCACAGCCCACCTTTCAGTGTATTTTAATTAACTAACACCATTGCGGTGGCACCAACCCAAAGCTATGCTAATAGTTAAAGTCTATGTAATAATATGATCCTCCATTTGTGTACTAGTTGAACTAAGCATGGCTAAGCATTTCCTAAACCAACATCTAATCATTTTGATACCCAAGTTATCAATGGCATAGGGTAAACAATAAATGGCTGAGTAATAGGACCCATCCCACATGACATTGTAAAAGAATGCAACATTTAATAGAAATGCGGGATATTTGTAAATTGGGTACAATATGATCAAATGTAATGCATGACTTGCCTTGCTCTCGCACTGATGAGACCACAGCAACGTCTTCAAGGAACCGCGGATCGACGAAACGGCCGAAATCTACGCGACAAACAAAGCACACAAGAAAAGCATGCTATAAGACTACTGAAACAGGAAACAAAACCATTTTTAATGGATTCCTTGCATTTTTCTTGATTTACTGAGACTTGTGTTGGTCTGTGAGGGCAGTCTATGTCCTAGGAAGCTGCCAGATGTAATTGGGCCCGGCCTCAGAGAGGTGGGACGTTATAGGCAACCTGGGCCGGCGGTGGAGCTGGCTCCGGCGGTGGGAGCGGCACCACACACTCCCGTTTCCCTCACTGAATTCCCCGTCTGCGCCCCAACTACGGCCGCACGAATCGCCGAGACCCCGTCACGCGAACGCACGCGACACGTGCGAGCGTACAGCCGCCACCTCTATCCACGTCGCGGTCGCTCCATCCGGCGGTGCATTCCGGTGGCCGGGCTGCTCGAGCACTTCAAGCTCATCGGCTGCTTCGACGACGACGGCGTGGGGTTCATGACCAGCGACATGGGCAACGAGACCTACTTCCCGCCATCGCTGCACCACATCCCGCCGGCCGCCACGCACGCCGAGGCCATCCGCGAGGCACACATGCTCTTCTTCCCGGTGCTCGACGACCTCTTCGCCAAGATCGGCGTGCCGTTGTCGTCCGTCGGCGTCGTCGTTGTCAACTGCAGCGGGTTCTGTGCCACGCCGTCGTTATCCGTCATCATCGCCAACCACTACGGCATGCCCGGCGACGTCAAGACCTGCAATCTCTCTGGCATGGGCTGCGCCGCAGGCGCCATCGGCGTCAACGTCGCCGCGAACCTCCTCCGGACGCACGCCATGTCCTACGTCGTCGTCGTCCGCTCGTCACCAACAAACGCGACGGCCACCAGAGGATCAGAGAGAGAGGGGAAGGAAGGGAAGAGGGGAAAGAGAGATGATGTGGCATTCTGACATGTGGGACTCACGTGGGTCCCACGCTGACTCAGCCATCACGTAGGACAAATCCGGCGTCAATACTGCCCTGGGACCTCGGGTGACTGGTTTTGTATAGTTAAGGGACCTCACATATCTGGTTTTGTGGTTTGAGGACGTTTTTTGCATCTCGCTAACAAGTTGAGGGACCTTTGGTGTACCTTTTTCTAAGAAAAAGGGTCCAAATTGTTGGGTCGGCCCAACTAGACACATCTTCCTCCCGCACATCCTCCAATCGGCCCAGTAAGACTGCGGAGCCCATCTCCAGAGTAGCAGTCCGCGCGGCCCATCATCCCTACACGAAGAACCACCGCGCGTGTCTGCGAACGACCTTGACTCATCATCTCCTCGGCCTCGACTTGCTCTTAATTGGTCCGATTCCAAAAATCGAGCCAGCGATCATCTTCTGCTCACCGCGAATGACCAGTTGACCACCATCTCCCATCGACCTGGCATGGCCGATTCATCTCCATCGTTTATCCCCATTACAGGATGAGCATCTGAAAAGACAAGACTCATCAAAGTACCCTAGCACCTCACGGTTTCGTGACTCCTCCAATTCATCAACTAAACATGCACATCAATGGCAATTAATCGTTATATCAACATGCATTATGCACCTGAAACCGGCCCATCGAGAAGGCAAATGGTCCACAATGTACTTATAAATTTGTTTCTCCTGCTGAACACACTCATCCTTCTATGCATGCTTGCACTTTCCTTCACTCCCCCTGTTCCTCCATATCAACACATCAGCACCGGTTGACCATGTATGCACAACATACATCTTTGCTCTAGGCTTGAGTCTCTACTGCCCCAACTTTTTCGCTCATCCATGCCAATAGTTTATCGACTATACATTTCTCCTCCAATAGAGCTACTGCTAGGTTTGGTTTCAGCAAAACGCTATAGCCCCGAGAAGGCTTCTCTAATTATTTTGTCCACTTCATGTTTCACATATAATTTTGTAAGTATACCTTTTATTTGCAGGATTTTAGGTGGTTGAAAGAGAATCAATTTTTCATCAACGCAATCATGTCTACGACCACTATATAGGCTATCCATATTGCAATGTATTTTAAACAAAATGTTGCTAATAAATAGACAATTGCTGGTGTTATGGCATCTTCTATACATAATACAAGCTCCTTTGTTTCCTACCATATATGCTCTTCACACTACTTGCATATTTTGGTTATTCTTCTAAGCCCACAGCAATGCGCGGGGAATCAACTAGTTGATTTAAATAATACAAACCTATCTTTGGATATACATCAAGGCTCGTATTCTGGTGGGTTGGGCTGGAGCCATCCCATTTTTATAGGTGTTTGGTTGAAGGACTGTATAGGTTAGGTTAGGTCGAAAAAGGAATATTCTGCCTATGGCCCTGTTTAGTTCCCATGCAAAAATTTTACACCATATCACATTAAACGTTTGAACACCTGTATGAAGTATTAAATATAGACTAAAAAATATCTAATTGTATAGATTGTGACTACTTAGCGAGACGAATCTTTTAAGCCTAATTGTTTTATAATTTGACAACGTGGTGATACAATAAACATCTAATGACGGATTAATTAGACTTAATAAATTTATCTTACAGTTTACTGATAAATTGTGTAATTAGTTTTTTTATTAGTGTCCAAACATCATACACCACAATGTATATAATAAGATGTCACGCGCCAAAATTTTGCACCGCAGGTTCGTTTTGCTCGGAAAAAAAAAAGTGGCGGACCGATACGTTCCACCTCCCTCTCGCGCATCAAGTGCGTTACTCTTTTCTCACCGTATCCTGTTTTTCCCCTTCACAATCAGAGCGAAATCGAGAGAGAGGGCGGCGGCGGCGACTTCGTGCGCAAGAGGGAGGCGGCGGCGACTTCGTGCGCAAGAGGGCGTGCCACGGGCCAGCGACGCCAGTGTCCTCCCTTCTCCATCCTCCTTCCTCTCATCCCTCCTCCCGCCGATCCCTTTCCCTTCTCCATCCTCCTTCCTCTCATCCGCCGCCGCGCCGGCTCGTGGCTGAGCTGCTCCTGCACCTCCTCCTCCCAGTCCCGCGCCCGCAGCTCCCGCCTCTCCCCCCGCTTCTTCCGCCTCTCCCGCCCTGTCAGCTCCCCCTCACCTCCATAGCCAAGGTAAGGAAACCCTAGCAGTGTGTACCATCTCTGATATTTTGTTTATAATGCTAGATCTGCGCGATTCCGTTTGCATGATATGAATGTCCTTGCTGTCAACATCTGTTCAAGCACACTGCAATATTTTCGTTTATCAATTATTACACAGTAGTTATTTTCCTGACGTGAACAAGTATTACTATGTGATTTGGGCAAGTATTTTTTGATGAGATGATTTATGCTTGAGCATGACATGGCAACGTGTTTATTTTTCTTTGATTGTTGTATTGTAGATGGATAAGAGGACCAAGGTTTTAATTTTTGCTGCTTCTGCCAATCTATTGTTGTCAATGATGGCCATGATTATTCATTCTAGGAAAAGAAAGATAGTTTCTAGGAGGGAAGGTGTTAAATATGACCCAATGGTTGAAAGGGATAGGATGAGAATTGAGTATCTAAACACAAAAATTTGGAGGAACGATAACATGCTTAGACTTAGAAAAGATTCTTTCTTTCGGTTTTGTAAGCTCTTTAGAAATCGTGGTTTGCTTGAAGATACCATCCACATGTCTATTGAGGAACAAGTAACTATGTTTCTAAATACAGCAGGGCACAATCTTAGAAATAGATAAGTTGGCACTAATTTTGATAGGTCCGGAGAAACAGTTAGTTGTTATTTCAACAAGTGCTTCATACTGTTGGTGAGCTGCGAGATGAACTAATCAGGCCTCCCTCATTGGACACCCCAAGTAAAATTGCCGGGAACCCTAGGTGGGATCCTTACTTTAAGGTGTGAGATTCATCTGTGTCTCATTTTCAATTTTATATTTTAACAAACCTCAATGTCCCCTGATCTTTTATGGTGTTGAATATAAAATAGGATTGTATGGAGCTATTGATGGCACACATATTAGAGCCTCTGTTCAGAAGAATATCGAGCCCTCTTTTCGTGGTAGGAAGTCTCATGCCACGCAAAATGTAATGGCAACTATAGATTTTGATCTTCGGTTCACTTATGTCTTGGTTGGTTGGGAGGGTATAGCACATGATGCTGTAGTTTTAAGAGATGCATTGGAACGTGAAAATGGCCTTATACCCCAAGGTAATAGATTAATTTAGTTCATCAATTTCTCCATCTCAATAGAAATGTGACCAACTTGTCCATCATATGATAGGAAAATTCTACCTAGTTGATGCTGGATATGGAGCCAAACCAGGATTCCTCCCTCCATTTGTCCGGTACCACTTGAATGAGTGGGGGAATAATCCGGTGCAAAATGAGGAGTTGTTCAACTTTAGGCACTCGTCCCTTCGTGTCACAGTTGAACGTGCATTTGGGGCACTAAAGAGGAGGTTCAAAATTCTAGATGATGCCACCCCATTCTTTCCTTGTCCAACTCAAGTAGATATTGTTGTAGCTTGTTGCATTATTCATAATTGGGTCATGAATGATGGAATTGATCAGTATATTACAGATCCATTAGATTTGATAAGTGAACCCACAAAAGAGTCATTTGGGTAGGCAACAGAGCCATCTACGTTTAAAAAGTTTGGCTAGTTGCATTCTTCGATGGTGTCTGTCCCATAAAGGATGGGTGCTAAGTTTATAAATTTTCTTAGGCATAATTAAATTCCCACAAATTGGATAAATTGAAGTCATATGTCCACTGTCACCCAGACGATTAAACCACTCAAGCATTCATACAAGTAAAAACAAATATTAAGTATTGTAATGACGACGTTTTCTGAAGTGATAGTAGCATCAAACGGATATGCATCAAAAGAAAACCAACATAAGAAAGATAGGAGGCACATAAAAAATGCCAAACCCACGGATCCTCCACAGCAATTCCATATTCTAAATCCTCAAATCGCGCCACGGGGACATCGAGCAGATCTACCCAGAACCCTCGCCGGCTTAGAATTCACGACCGGATTCGGATTCCACCGCCCGCACGAGCGAAAAAAAAGACCAGAAACAAATCGAGAGCTTAAGTCACACGGTTTACTGGGAGGGAGGGAGGTCGAGGCGCTCGCGACGGATCTCCACTCCACGCCAATCCAGCAGAGGCTGGGCGGCGGCGAGAGGGGAAGCGCCTCGAGGTGGCGCCGCTTGCTCCAGCGGGAGGCTGCCCCCGGGTTGGGGAGCACTTGGATTTGCGAAATTTGGGGGAGGTGTGGCGAGGGAGGGAGGGAGGTAGAGGCGCTCGCGATGGATCTTCACTCTGCGCCAATCCAACAGAGGCGGGGCGACGACGAGAGGGGAAGCGCCCCGAGGCGGCGCCGCTTGCTCCAGCGGGAGGCTGCCCCCAGGTTGGGGAGCACTTGGATTTGCGAAATTTGGGGGAGGCATGGCGCATGAGAAAGAGAGAGGAGAGGAAAAAAGTTGGTCTAAAGGCGTACTCCAATCACGAGTTCACGTAGTCCGGAAGGTGACCTCCTGAGAGAGAGGGCGAATAAAAAAACAAGAAGAAGAGCAGCTAAGACAAGTGTGTGGTTTGTTGGTTGTGTGTGGGCCTGGAGAAAAAGAATGCCTGGCCCATTACAGACCGATTCCGCTTCCGGCTACAGTACCATACTACCATGTGCTCCAATTGGCACAATACTAAGCTTTTTCTTTGCAATTAAAAAAGGACAACTTTTTAAATCCAAAATTTTCACATTTAAAAATTTTGGATTTACGAATAGATCTAAGTATATATTTTTTAGTTTACTTTATCAAACAACGAAAGTGATGAACCCCTACATACCCCTACAAATAATTAATTTTTAAAAAGGCATGTTTAGTTTCAAGTCACCTGAAAATACATAAATCTCGGTCTTTTTTAGACCGTCAAGATTTCATCCAAATTCATGTGGACTTTTTCTCTCCCCCTTATATCTTCTCTTCTATCGAAAGGATGGATGCACACAAGCACGGAACTTATGTTTGGTTTGGGGACCTGGTGGGATGGGTTAGGTCCATTAAGGGGGAGAGAAAAAGTCCACATGAATTTGGATGAAATCTTGACGGTATAAAAAAGACTGAGATTTGTGTATTTTCAAGTGACTTGAAACTAAACATGCCTTTTTAAAAATTAATAATTTGTAGGGGTATGTAGGGGTTCTTCATCACTTTCGCTGTTCGCTTAAGTAAACTAATAAAAATATACAGAGCTATTCGTAAATCCAAAATTTTTAAATGTGAAAATTTTGGTTTTAAAAAGTTGTCATTTTTAATTGCAAAGAGAAAGCTTCTATACTGTGCCAATCGGAGCACATGGTAGTATGGTACTGTAACCAGAAGCGGGCTCGGGCTTTAATGGGTTGGGCATTTTTTTCTCCAGGCCCACACAACCAACAAACCACACACTTGTCTTAGCCGCTCTTCTTCTTTTTTTTTATTCACCCTCTCTCAGGAGGTCACCTTCCCGACGACGTGAACTCGTGATTTGAGTGTGCCTTCAGACCAATTTTTTTCCTCTCTCTCTTTCTCATGCGCCACGCCTCCCCCGAATTTCCCAAATCCAAGCGCTCCCCAACCTGGGGGCAGCCTCCCGCTGGAGCAAGCGGCCGCCTCAGGGCACTTCCCCTCTCACCGCCGCCCCGCTCTGCTGGATTGGCGCGGAGCAGAGATCCATCGTGAGCGCCTCTACCTCCCTCCCTCCCAGTAAGCCGTGTGACTTAAGCTTCTAGTCTTCTTTTCGCCCGCGCGGGCGGTGGAATCCGAATCCAGTCGCGAGTTCTGAGCCGGCGAGGGTGCTGGGTAGATCTACTCAGTGTCCCCGTGACGCGATTTGAGGATTTAGAATGTGGAATTGCCGTGGAGGATCCGTGGGTTTGGCGCTTTTTTTTTTGCCTCCTGTCTTTCTTATGTTGTTTTTTTTTCTGATGCATATCTGTTTGATGCTACATCACTTCAGAAAACGTCGTCATTACAATACTTAATATTTGTTTTTCCTTGTACGAATGCCTCAGTGGTGTAATCACGTGGGCGACGGTGGAAATCAATTTATCCAGTTTGTGGGAATTTAATTATGCCTGAGAAAATTTATAAACTAAGCACCCATCCTTTATGGGACAGACACCATCGAAGAATGTAACTAGCCAAACTTTTTAAACGTAGATCACCAATACGGACACAAGTATTTTGATTACCACTTAAGTTTACTACGGAGTACCATGTTACTGGAAAACTACTGTTAGAGAAGTGTGTCGGAAACCGTGTCAAAATCTGAGATACCATTATTCATGCATATGGAAAATAATTATGGAGTGGCCAAACCCCTAATGCTGGGGTTCAGTCCCGTGTCATGGCTAGTTGGCTACACGGTCCTGTGCTCCCACCACTAAAAACTAAGCCCAGTTCTGCTGGCATACAGATAGACTCATCCTATAAACTCTTAATCAACTGAAATATTTCTACACCTGGCTGCCTGAAGGTTTTAGTGGATTGTCGTCAAGCATGAAATATCTATTTCTTGATAATTTGTGTGGTGCATTAAAGCAGCACGCATTCCTTACCTAAATGCCTTTTTGTTGACACAAAAGCATCCCTGATTGCAATACGTGAATAGCCATAGCCTTTTTACAACAAAGGCACTAATTATCTAATTCTAATAGAGTATTGTCCAACTGGGGCATAAAGATTTAACTAAGTAATAAGAATGCTTGTGATATGTTTTTCTAGCAGTCTTTTTTTTTCTTTCCTTTTATTTTCTAGGAAAAACAGGAGCATAATATGAAGCAAAAGCATTGATCCTTGTGTTAACAGCTACTATTAATAATAGCTAATGACAAACACCTTAATGCGAGGTGCATCTTGCCTGACGTGTTGGATGAGGATGACGCCATAAGTTGCTGCTTAAAAGAACCTCCATCGTCAATTCTACCCGCATTTACTTGACATCAGCGGACAGCTTGAAATTAATTAGGAGTCTGATTAAAAGTTAAACTACTGAAGAGTTTGACAAAATATGCTCTTAAAATTCACCATCTTGGGGGTCCTTATAGAATTCTGTACCTGCCAACACTCAAGGTTTTAAAAGTTAAAAAGTAAAAATATGTCAAACATGGATTCTCATATCGGTACCGTGTGAAACAGCCCATCGTAATTGATGGCCACGTAATTGTGATATGCGCATAACGCTATCATCTGTTTGAGCACTCATGGTACTATCATATATTTGATACACATATCTAACTTGTCTCTCTCTTGTAGTCAGCTTGCTGTTTAGAATATTTTGATTAGCATTCCTTTCCTTGTTTTATTAGACAAAAGTTATTAATACACCGTCTGATCTTCCTTTGTACTTTTGTTCCACAGTGCTAGCCAATAAGAAAATTTTCTGCCGCATCCATGATACTTAGAGACTCCACTGCTTCATTGACCAAGAAAATATAGAAGATCAAAGGTGTCTTGTAGGTAGGAAGCTTCTGCCGGTTGTTTATATATTCATCGTTTCACCTGATAATTTTTTTTCCATGTTTGTTGGGTTCCGAGTGTTTTTCTGCACTTGTGTATTATTCTATGCTCTGATAATGATTAATAGTCATCTCTCCTTTCAAAATTATTTTATCCATGACACAATTTGTTTGCTTGCTGAAATCCTTTTATTTTTCACTTCCTTAAAGGCAAGGAAGATCTAATTTAAGCGTTTCGGAAAACATTATTTTAAAAACCATTGAGACACATGATTAATGATCACTTCATAAATTTGTCTTATTTTCAGAACTTAGGTGTTAAAAGGAATAGAGTAATCTAGGGAGGAATAAAGCATGGGAAAAGGAGAGGTAGCCACTAGGTCCAAATCTCAAAAATCATCGGCGACACAGGTATGTACAACAATCTGAAACTACAAGACTAATTACTAATTAGTGAAATTCTCTTACCTTGTTTTGCTTGTTTTAGAATGAACAGAGTACACCCACTAATCCTCCTACTGCATATCCGGACTGGTCTCAATTTCAGGTTCATAAAATGAGTTCATCTTGCATCCATTTAACTTTTTCCACTATATTGTTTACTGTACTGGTTAGTATCAATCTGTAGGCATACTATAATCCTGCTGGGACAGCTCCAATGACCCCACCGGGCTTTTTCCATCCAAATGTGGCTCCAAGTCCTCAGGGGCACCCATATATGTGGGGTCCACAGGTACATTCACATTAATTTCTTGCTATAGATGCAGTGTTCTGGTCATACCACTACCATTTCTGCTGTTTTATCAGAATTATGTCTAGATAAGTCTAAGCATGAGTGATAATAAGCAAATGGTAGCATGGACCTTTCCGCTGCATTCATTTGAGTTACCCAGTCCTTTTAACCTTTGGCCTTAGGGTTTTGGTAGTTTTTCTTTTGTATGAAGGATGCTGTTAGCTACTCTGAAGCTATGGAAAATCAGTTTTAACATGTGATGTGAATTGCTCGTGTCAGATGATGCCTCCCTATGGAACACCGCCGCCATATGCGGCGATGTATGCGCAAGGGACACCATATCAGCAGGCACCTATGCTACCGGTACTCACTCTTACATTTTACTTAATGAAATAGTTTTTGTCATGTTATGTGAATAGCTCTTACCAAAGAATTTCATTCTAATTGTCTCTATACCAGGGTTCACACCCATACAATCCTTATCCCGGGCAATCACCAAATGGGACAGTTCAAACTCCTGTAAGTTCTTGGGCATCTTTTATCTGCTCTGTAGTTGTAGAAGGCAAGAAGAATTTCATCTAATCTTTTTTTTTTGCTTCCCTGGGTCTTTTAGTTGTGTCCGTTTATTCCAGTTTCAGTGATCTTGCTGTCAAAATTGTTGCTTATGCTATCATAATTTAGCTACATTTTCATGTAAAAATTAATTGGTTTGATTTGCACCTTTATTTCATTACCTGTCTACTTAGATTAGATATGATTGTGGTTGAAAATCATGTTGTTAGACATCTGCTGGCGGAACAGAGACAGATAAGTCAGGCAAAAGTAAGCGGAAGACTCCCCTGAAGAGATCGAAAGGAAGCTTAGGTAATCTTGATGTAGTTGCAACAAAAAATAAAAAGGCGCCCGCAAAACCTTCAGCATCCTCATCCAATGAAGGTTCTTCACACAGGTAGCTCCTTTTCTTCTGTCTCTGTGATTATAATGGATAAACGCTGACTTTTTTTTAACATATGATATGCAGTGAGAGCGGAAGTGGAAGTTCTTCTGAAGGAAGCAGTACAAATTCAAAAAGTGTATGTCACTCTATCATACCGCTTTGTTATGTTACTTCAGTTACTTCATTTTTCTCACCAGTACAAATTCCAAAGGCAGCATGCCTTTTGTTTTACCACTCTGGCATCCCCCCCCCCTACTGAAGGTCTTGTTTGTCATGCGCAATATCTAGAGTCTAAGCCTTTGTATTATTGCTTACGGCACCTGTACTGAACTGGTACACTATTTAGAGGTGCAAGTTAGTTGGGTACTAGGGTTGCACACTGGCTCTGCATATTGGCCATCAGAAACCCACCTAGACTAGTTGGGTTGTACTTCTCTTCAAGGTTCTGGATGTTTGCAAAATAAAGATCTGCAAAGTGCAAATCTTGTAATAAGAGGATCCCAACTGATAATGAAACAGTCTGATTTTTGGTGATACTAAAAAAAAATCGAATGGTGAGCCCTTCTATTAAAGTTCTTGACCATTCGCATAGTCGTTAGTTATTAGACTCGAGTTGATTATTCTTTGCTCTCGCCACATGTGTTGTACCCTTTAATAATTAGTGTTGATCGATTGTTCTGAAACCCTTAGGAACTTGTTTTCCCCACCAAATACTTATAGTATGTGGATCTTTTTTTTTTTTGAAAGAATGGATCTTTTTTTTTTGTTGCATGCATGTTTGGTACCTTTTTGTGCTGGGTGTATCCATGGTTGCCACTACTTTCAAAATGCACTATAGCCTTCTAGCCTGTGAACAAAGTATATGGATGCACTCAATCCTCTATGTTTTTTTTTTTTTCCTTTTTGCTCCTTTTGCTTCATACGATCATTTTCTTGCTAACCTAAGACAAATATGTACAAACAATTTGCTTGCAGGGTTCAAGGACAAAGGATGGTTCTGAGCATGGCCAGGGTAATGGTAGGATTAAGAACCTCTCTTTTTTTTATATAAAACAGTAGAATTTTCAAGGAAAATCTGTAGCTCATAAAAGATTCTGCAAAAACTCATGAATATTATAGTGGTGCAGGAGGCATGCCTGAAAAACATTTTCCGTGTTGAAAACACATATGGCAAAAATCACTGTTTAGACACAAGGTTTTTAAGAAAGCAAGGGCGAGGAAGTACCATATGCAATCATCATCCGTTGGCATATTGGGTGTGGGTTTAGATTTGGATTCAAAGTGGCATATTTGGTACAAGCAAAATTTTGATGACATATTAGGAACCGACGAAATTTCCAGTGGTATATTAGGGGTTTACTCCTAGTATAGTACTGAACATATTCTACAACCTGCCATTGGTAGCTTTATTGAAGAATAAAATTGTGAAACTATGCTTGTTTTTGTTATAAGCAATTAATAAATATATTAGTTAAGACAATAAGAAATTTTTCTCATGTAGTAAGGATTGACTGCAATCTAATTACCTTTTTGTCCAGATGCTAGCAACAAAGGAGCTACTGCTCAGAGTTCTGCGGTTGAGCCCGTACAAGCATCTACTGGGCCAGTTGTGCTTAACCCTATGATGCCATACTGGCCTGTCCCTCCTCCCATGGCTGGCCCAGCAACTGGTGTAAACATGGGAATGGATTACTGGGGTACTCCTACTTCAGTACCCATGCATAATAAAGTTATTGCAGCACCAGCATCAGCTCCTTCATCAAACTCTCGTGATGTTGTTCTCAGTGATCCAGCCATACAGGTTTATTGCTGTGCAGGATTTGTTTCTTGTTTTTGCTGTGTTACAGGAACCAACCTTGCAATTTCCTTAGGGCTGTATTTTATTTTTAATGCAGGATGAGCGAGAACTGAAGAGACAAAAGCGGAAGCAATCAAATAGGGAATCAGCTCGACGTTCAAGATTACGCAAGCAGGTCTGTAGTTTCTGCACCAGTCTGCATGGATTTGGCTGTCGTTTGCTGTTCTTATTATCTTTGGGTAGTCTGTGTTTCTGTAAACAACTAATCCATAAGAGGCCAACTTGGATTCAACCTAATCAGCAGTGAATTTTGATAAGGTTGAACCTATTTGAATTGACCGCAGACGGGAATAATACTTAAATATACATAGCCTGTATGGCATGCATGCGCGCATGCACGCTATGCTAGAGCCCAGGATATTGATGGTGCTTTAAATGAATTTTCTTTTATGGATGGTTTGACCAGAATCTGAACTGAACAATATGTTTGAAGATATTAGCTTGGCAGTCCATTGGATCATAATTCAAAGCTGATTTTGAATTGTAGAGGATTTTCATTACTCATTACCCAGCTCTCTTTTCATGATTGCTAAAGACAAGTAAAAAATTACCCAAATTATTCTTAAAACATCAAACTTTGAAATTCAAACTGCTTAGGATTACAACCCAATTGTTGTTGAACCAGTACCTTATTAGTCGAGTGAGTATAATTTACCGCACTTCAATGACAATCCAGTGAGTCGCAAAATTGGCAACTACATTTTTGACTGGTGTAGAGAGATGTTTTCTAACTTCTTGAGATACATCTTTAAAATACACACTATATTTGTTTTAAAAGTCATGGATATATAAGCAAGCATGGGAAACAACCTCCCAATACAATATTAGGTTGACTGCAGATATTCTTGATCAATTCTCTTTTGGTGATATAAGGGTGGATTGGTTCTTTTTCTTCTTTTTTTTTTTTGGTTCTCGGCTTCTCGCATACATATCATTGTCCATTTGTTAACTTAAGAATGTATGGTTCGTCTTAGGGTTCTCAGCTTGTTGTATCACTAGTATACTCCCTCCGTTTTCCTATATGATGTTGTTTCGTTCATTTTTGAACTAACCAACAGCATATAAAAAAAAATGGGGGGAGTATTTTTTTTGAGGAGTCCATTACTAGTGTACTATTTTATCAACCGTATCTCCTTTTACTGCTATGGGTAGTCAAACTGTTGCAGGTGCTGGTTACACCTAGTTATTCCAATGCTGGATGTATATGACCAGGGTTAAATAAGCAATGCAATGTTATTTTTGCGGTATTTTTTTTTATAAATTTACTATTAACCTTCCTTTTGATGATATATATGTTGTAACAAATGAAATACTACAGGCTGAATGGGAGGAAGTAGCCAATCGAGCTGATTTGCTAAAGCAGGAAAACAGCTCACTTAAGGAAGAATTGAAACAACTTCAGGAGAAGTGCAATAGCTTGACCTCAGAAAATACAACTTTACATGTAAGATTTGTGTTCTTCTGTTGTCCTACACTTCCCATAATGTGCAGTAGACAATAGTTACTATTTTTAGTTTGCTGCAAATAAGAAAGTGGATCAAGGGCAAAACATACTAGGGGATTACCCAATCCTCACAGGCTGTTACTTCCAACGCATTGGTTCACTGATAACTACCCCTGAAGTCCTGAACCCATCTTCTTTTAGACGTTTGGAGTTAACATTTCATTCTTTACTTTGAAATTTATTTGAGGCATTTTTAATGATTGTAGGAAAAGCTTAAAGAGCTTGAAGGCGAGAAATCAAATGGAAACTGGTATAAAGAGTGAAAAGCTGTAACTTATCACTTTCTGACTTCTGATGTAAGGAATAATTACTTGGAGCTACCATTGCTATTACAGAGTACATATTCTTAAAATTTTGTTGTAACTTTCTTGAATTTTCAGATAAATTGGAGGCGACATGGTAGGTCCGATAATTAGGAGGTATTCATGTATGCTATTAGATTTTTGGCCGAGAGGTAGAATTGTATCATAGGATTTGACATGATGGCTACAGATTCTTCTTCCAGTTGCCGCGGCTGCTGTACTCTATGCTTTTTTTTTTCTGCACTTGTGTAAGATTCTACGAAGTACCATGTAAAAGTCCCCAAGTGATGTTTGAAACTCTGGGGGTTAGCTTCTGAGATAGTTGATGTAGAGCTGCTCATTGAGCGTCTTTACCTGAATTGATGTGTGTCACAGTTATAGTTTGTGACTTATCATTCAGATAATTAGAGGCACAAATTTGTATAATGTACTAACGGGTCGTGATAAGGAAATTTTGTTGCATTTTGCTATCCTGGCTGCATCATTCTTTTGCAAAGGGAAGCTGAACCATGGAACCTGTCATTCTCACCCAGAATATTATGTGGCGGGCATGTTTCTAACATTATCAAAATTTGGTAAGGTAGAGATATTTAAGTTAGGTGTGGTCTATTACCTTAGCTAAGAGCAAGTTTAATAGTATAGCCAACTACTAGCTTCAAATCATTTATAGCCAATGTAATAGCCAATTCATATAATAGTTGCTTACTATACTATTAATATCTGGTCCTACATACATACACACATTACGTCTTAGAGTCTGTGCTGCAGCTGGCTATAGATCTGTAGCCCGCTGCTCTTCTCTCTCTTCCTTTATATTTTTAAAATATGTTTATAGCTGGCTTATAGCCTGCTATTGTACCTGCTCTAATTATAATTCTTTGTTTGTGCCTGTAGCTCAAGTATATAACGATGTGTACGAGAAAGTTGATCGTAAAGCCCGACTACAAGCTATAAAGACATGCTTTGTATTGTTAATTCTATGTGTTTTTTTATAAAGAAAACGTATCTTCTAAAAAGAGAGACATGCAACAAAAGTGACAAAAGAAAAACTAAAATTCTAATCAGCTTCAGATTAAAACATTAACCGTTCAGATTTAATCTGTCTTCATTTCCCTTGGGTTTGTGTTTATCTGTTTATCTATGTCATTTTGTGAGCTATCCAATCCAATCCAATCACTTTACGCGATCCTTTTTGCCTTTTGTTTGCAAGTCTTTGTGGTCTCCAAAGTCCAGCCATTATTTTTTTGCCCGTTCAGAGTCTACGAATAAAAGGCCATGATTCTGTTCAAAGTTCTACACGCCTTATGATCCCTTTTTTTTCTCATTTGCCTCACCAATCTTGTACTTTTTGTCAAGCACATGGATGGCTTCCTTCCCTTTTTTATTTTCATGTTTAGATGGTAGAACATCTTTATGTCATGACTAACTGAAAAAATCATGGCAAAGCTCCTGTTAATCCAACTCATTTTCTTATAGGAGCATATGCTTGTCTCTATCCACCTAAGTTTCCAAAATTCGATTGATTTCATCATGAGCTTGTTCCTGTGCCTATCCTTGAAACCAGGCAAGTAGCCAAGTACTCTCTCAGTTCCAGAGCTCATACTATTGCTACATTATTGTAAACAGTAGCACATATTATCTAGATCACCTGTTCAAATTTGTAATACTAGTTTATGCCTAATTCAGTACTACATTGCTATATTTTAGGACGGAGGAAACATGCAGTATACACTTCAGATCTCAATTTGCACCTTACTACTACGAGTAGGGGTAGCTCTGAATGCAGTATTGCCGTGCACAGCTTCTGCTCAATACCAAAACAAAACATTCAGGGTAAACTTTCCCTTTCCTTCCCTGTCCCCCTTCCAACCATCCAAAGGGGATGGCATGCACTGTTGGGCAGACACACACATGGTATAGGAGTACCCAACCATTGCATGGGATCCATCAGAGAATAGCACTTTCATTATCCAAAAAAAAAAAAACAGAGAACAGCAGGTGCAGCAAGTAGCCAAGGACAATGGCAGTGGAGTTTACTTGCAGGCAGGCATGTTGTGCAGAAGAAAGCGAGAAAAAAAATGGCAAAAAGCTACACCGCCAAACTGCTCTCTGACAAGAATTGAATCATGCACTGTTCATGACCATACCATTGGCCACCACTATTCCTAGATTAATTGAAAACCTGCCCACCGAAGTACGTAAGGATGAGTAAAAATTGCAGGCATGTTACGCAAGAACAGCTGCAAACGCACTGCAATGCAAAGAGAGAGAAAGAAAAAGGTACAATTCTGACTCAACCCCTGACAAAAATATCATGGCACTTCACTGGTCCCCTACAACTCCAACCCTTCCTTCCATCCCTTTCTCTTTTCCACCCCTAACATGTGTAGAGATAATTTTTGTACTGGTACTGGATGGGTAGATAGAACACACTTAATCCTAGGAATAAACAAGTGCTAGCCCAGGAATGAGCAGCTCAATTGTTTACAGAATTGTGTGTGTACCTTTTTTTGTTGCTCTTGGGGTGGCCTTTTCTTGGATGGTGGTGGTGGTTTTGGTAGTGATGGTACAAAGGAAAAAGAAAAAGGAGGAAAGTTGAGGTGTATACCAGCATCCATCCCCTTGTGTGTATCTTTAGTGCAGATACATCCTTTTCTTGTACCACTTCTGAGCACTGTCCTGCATCCCCTACCAGTAATTTACCAAACCTCTGCTTTCCATAATCAAACACCACAGTGGGGATGCCACTTTAACTGAACACACCACAACATCACATTCTCACCCCTTGCCCTTCTCCTCCTCATCCTCACTTTGTTTCTTTGTTTCTCTTCTCCCCCTTTGGTGAACACAAGGGACAATTTGCTAGGACAGCCATGGTCTGAGCGGCTTTGGTGGTTTGGCTTCTTGGGATCTCCTCTTCAGAATTCTGGCTTCTTGATGAACTGAGGTGCAGAATTCTGTGTCTGCTTCTTGGGTGCTTGAGGTAATTCGGCTCTCCCTGATGACTAGACTAGTCGACTTCTTCATGTTCCTTGGGTGGTTGTTCTTCTGCTTGTTTGCTTGTTGTTCTTGAATTCTGGTGTTCTTCTACTGCATGGCAGTTTGCTTGGATGTAAGAGTAATTTCTCCGTGCATTCCCAGTTGGAGTAGATGTCTAGATGGAACTCCAGCAGAGTTTGAGGTCTGCTGGGTTTTATCCCTTGTGGTTTTGTTGGTCCAGTTAAGATCTTTTAAGTATGTTACTTTGATCATCCATTCAAGTCAGGAATTTGTTTCTTCCATGTTAAACGATGTGGTGGTGAATTTTCAAGTGGAACTTGTTGATGCTTTGGTGTCTGCACTAATTTGTGTTATTCCTGTTGGTAGTAAGTCTAATCTAGATCAAGTTTTGTTCTGATGAGATGCAGCTTATAAGTTTGGTAAATTCTGTTATTTTTCTTCCTATGTCTTGCCACTGTTAGCAAGTTCTCTGGGCCAAGTACTTAGATAATTTACTAGTTACCGGGTGTCATATTTGCAGTCCTTCATCTGAACCGCTAAGGATGTTTTTAACCTATTTAAAAGTAGAGTGACAATTATATCTGATATGGGATGTTTTATGTGAAAAAATGCAAGTGGAAGTTTTGTTCATTAGGTTCCTCAAATGATATTGTTATCTTGAATTATGTTTAATTTTTCAGCATTTGTTGTCCTCAGCTGGTGGTTTAGATCTCTAGAGAAACACGATTTAACTGAAAGGGGCCTCTAGATGAGCAACACCAGAGCTTCCATCTTTTCTGACGACTACTGAATGTGCTATTCTTGGCCTTTTCTATAGATAAGGTTCCGTTTCAGAGATTCTCGTAACCAGAAAAGAGGGCATGCTTTTCATATGTTTATCCTTAAGTTTGGCATCAAAACTAGCACACAAATGCCCAATCTGCCACTTTCCACTTCTCTGCACTCCACATTATGGCCGGCACATTTGTCATACTACCTACTACTACTCTTCAGCTCATTATTTCAGATGTTTTCCTAACATTATTTTCTTTAATTAGCATCCATGTGTCGTGCTCAATGAACAGCCCATATATTGATTAGGATAAACAAGAGACACTCATCTAATTTCAGCCAAGAAAGTACCAATTCAGGCTCCATGCTCTTATCCACAAACTGTCTATACTTGCAGACAATGTCCATTTCTAAGTTTTTCAGTTTGTCATGATCACCACCACACTGACAAGAAGAATATAGCATGTTATTCTACTCATTCTCCACTTGTGAGTTCTGACTTATCTGCACATTGGTGAGACAGTCAATGAGTGCAGATGAGACTGCAGAGATTAACCCTGTCTTGTCCAGAGAATAATCTTTGATTTCAGAGCATCTTGCCACTCAAATATCTCGCATACATACATAAGATTCGCTCGCATGATCTGAGCTGTTTTGTCTGAATTTCTGAATGCAGCTGAGGCAGAAATCGGTGAGAGTGGTAGGTGTTTGTTGCGATCGTTGAAGCATGAAGAGCAGCAGCCAAGAAGCGGGAGAGGAGGTGTCCGAGATCAGCAGCCAGGCGGCGTCCAACAACAACGAGACGTGCAACTCCTCCTCCGGCAAGGTCAGCCTCGACCTGTCGCTCACCGTCGCCGCCGCCGCCGCGGCGGCTGCCTCCGCCACCGAGTCGAGCACCACGGACAGCGGCGGCACGCGGCCGGCGGCGACGGCGACGGCGACGGCGCGCGAGCCGGCGCGGGTGTTCACGTGCAACTACTGCCAGAGGAAGTTCTTCAGCTCGCAGGCGCTGGGCGGGCACCAGAACGCGCACCGGCGGGAGCGCACGCTGGCCCGGCGCGCCGTGCGGCTCGACGCGTTCCCCTACGGCTACGCCGACGTGGCCTCGCTGCCGCTGTACGGCGCCGGCCTGTACCCCATCGGCATCCAGGCGCACGCGTCGGTGCACCACCACCACCCTGGCGTGGCGGCGCCGGCGGGGCGCGCCGAGTTGAGGTCGGCGCGCGCGCTGCTCGGCCCGATGCCGTTCTTCGTGCAGGCGGCAGGCGATGAGGATGCCAGCTTCGGGTGGCCGGGCAGCTTCAGGCCACCGCCCACCGCCGCCACCACCATCCCCGCCGCCGCCGCCGCCCCGGTCGCCGTCAACTCCGGCTCCTCCAACTCCAACCACGGCGGCAGCGTCGTCGTGCAGGCCGCCGCCGACGAGCCCGACCTCACACTTAGACTCTAGCTGTCCCATCCATCCATCCATTAGTCTGGTGTAACATTCATCAGGTTGCTCCTGATCATCTCCTCCGTTTGTGAGTAGAATTCTTGCTTGCTTGCTTGCTTCGCTCTCGATCCTGCTGCTTGAGCTTGACATCAACCAACCTGCTAGTAAATTACTATTGCTTCAAATGCATGCGTGGAAGTATTGTTTTTGTAAATACAGCTTAGCCTATCCTAATATGATTGTACTTGTGCCCTAGCTAGACGAGATGATCCTCCTTTGAGCAGTTGAGCTCTCTGCTCATGCAATTTTACATTTACATTTTCACAATGCTGGCGTTCCTTCGTTTTGGGGTGCATCCGCCGCCGTTGCTGTCCGGCGACGGCGAGAGAGAGGTTGGCGACGAGGCGGGCGTCGGTGTCAGGCATGATCCCCTAACAGGAGTGGAGAGGGTTTCAAGTTGCAGCAGCTTGTAGGGATGGGCAATGTGGCCCCCCAGGGATGATACGATCTCAAAGCAGCCCAACCCCCAGCACCAGCAGGCAGGCAAATCTAGGCTACGCGGGATTCCCACTAGAGGCAACCGATAAGGTTCCCTGTCTGATTTTTTTGTTTGCCCCCCTCCCTGCCTGCCTCATGCCCACTATACTAGACTGCCACTGCTTCAACTAGATAGGTTATGTTAGAATAGATCACACCTTATTCTAATTTGATTTTTTTTAACCTAAAATATGTTGTTCAATGAATCTAAATAAAAATTTATTCAAATCCGTTATATTAAGATATATCACATTATTCTATCTCAACCTGACACTTACTTCATAAAAAAAAAACTCGACCTAGAATATGTTGTAGTCGTATCCTGTACCACCTTGAGTAACTCAAACAAATATAGCTCGTACAACATTTTTGTTCAAATTCGTTATATTAGGATATATTGCATAGAGAATTTTTTTTAGACAGAGTGAATACTAATATAGTACTCCCTCCATGTTATATTATAAGCTGTTTGATTTTTTTTTCTTAGTTAAACTTTAAAATTTGACTAAGTTAGTACTCCCTCCATTCCATAATATAAGTCACAACCACATTTTTTTAATGTTCCATAATATAAGTCATGCTGCAATTAATTATAACCCCTTCTCTAATAAATTATTATTTTTTTAAATCCTACACTCTCATGCTCTCTAATTCTATTGGATACATACATTGTATTTATTAGGATGATCCAAACTACAAGATGATAATAACTATTTCTTGATATTTGGGTTAGGGTGGTTATGCCTTATATTTTGGAATGGAGGGAGTAAAAAAATATACTAACATTTTCAATACAAAACAGATATATTATAAAAAAAATATTATCAAAATATATTAAATATTAAAGTTAATGAAACTAATTAGGTGTTGTAAATATTGCTATCTTTTTCTATGAATTTAATCAAACCTAAAATTTTTTTTTACTAATAAAAACGACAAATGACTTGTTGTATGAAACGGACAAAGGGAGTACTAGTAAAGCACTAGTAGCCTAAAGCTTAGACCACGACCACTGTGCCTGTGTCCCCAAAAATTCCCCCGAAGAAATCATACAAGATAACAAGAGGACGAACTGAGAACTGCACTGCACTACGTTGAAAAGTCTCATGGATCCAGAACTCCAGAATATCTGTATATAGTATCGTCATGCAGCAGAATGTAAATGGCATGACCCAACAACTCCAGTTCACATACTAGAGATAATGATATGCATACTTGCAAGGGACACACCATATGTTTGCAAACGGAAAGCAATTAAATGAGATGGTGTCTAGTTATGTTATCTGCCAGCACGAGGTTAGGCGGCCCTCTGCTTATAACAGTTTTAACTGGTAACACAAATCACAGGATGAATACAACAACTCGGAAAACATCCTAATGGTGTACAACAGATTTTTCACACATTCAGCGGCGTCAGATGAATTTTTACCAGCCTATACCCACATCTTCTTTGTGGCTTCCATCCGCTCGAGCAAGCCCTGGATATCGGTCTGCATCCGCATTTTCATCTTGAGGTAGTCGTAGTGCGAATTCTCCAGCATCTTGAGCTCCTCCAGCTTCTTCCTCCTCTTCTCCTCTGTTTCTTGGAAGCATACTTTTGCCAGCTTCGCAGCATACTCCTCCTCTAGCTTCTGAGTCCTGGAGCGGACAATCTGGCGGTAGCTATCTACTTCCTTCCTGGCATCATCGGCCAACTTTTGGAAGAGTTTTGCTTCAGCTTCCTTGCATTTCACGATGGTTTCGAGGCTAGAGTCATCCTCCTTAGAAGCGGTGCTGAAATGGGGTTCAATAGAGAGTGGCTTTGGGCTGGGCTTAAGTGCATCGGTGTCAAGAATGGAAGTAGTGGTCTTGAAGTTGAATGAGGATTTCGGTGGTGTGATCGTTGGAGTTTGAAGAGACCGCATATCTGTAGATTGACTTGCCTGAGCTGCCAATATACCTTTGGACGTGCTACCAGTAACAGAATAATCTGTAACTCCATCTGCGGAAGCAAAAAAGTTAGCTTGACCGAGTAAATCGCATCACGCTATATCAAGTGCAGGTTCTACCAGTTCTATTTCAAACATTGAATAGCACCAACGTTTTTATGCATGGAGAAATTAGATGAAATGAATCATCATATTTGATGGAGTATTTCAGCTTTAGTTTCAACAGAATATAAAGTTTGCTTCTTAAATCATGTCAAATGTTGTTATAACGATCAATGCGGTATGCCCACTAATACAAGGTGTAGTACTAACAGAAGTGTCTGTGTCTGATGTTCTAGGGAAAACTTTTAAAAAACATTGGCTGGGCATGATGACATGTGGTCTAAATGAACAAACTGCATGTGTTGTGGACTTTATATATGGTAGGCTGCAGATGTGCAGCAACAATGCGTATGGCAACAAGGGAAGTGTGTCTTAGTTACTTTAGGAATATATTTCTCAGTTGCAACTGGTTTAATTATAAGTTACTTTAGGAATATATTTCTCAGTAACAAAGTAGGAGTATATCTTAGTTACTACTCCCTCTGTCCCAAAATATAGCTACTTCTGGAATTTTTCACACAGATTAAGGAGAAAAGTAAAAGACTAGATTGTCCTTCATTAATGTTCCAGTTGGTGGGAGGAGGGTGGGGGTTGTGGAATGAGGGGATTCGGGGCATTTCATCACTACAAACACCCCTTGGTACTCTAGAAGTAGATATATTTAGATACAAAATTTGAATGCTAGAGGTAGCTGTATTTTGGGACGGAGGGAGTAAAGCCTTGTTTGGGAGCTAATATCCTGGCGAGGACCCTGGCCCAATTCACAGCAGCCAGTTCATTTTGGAACGGATTGGCCAAAATAAATCCACACCGGAATATGTGAGCTCCCAAAGAGGCCCTAAGTATGTCTAGTTGACCATTTGTTAAGGGTAACTCAGGCCATCGACCAGCAAATCAAGGGCAAGTGCCCTACCCTGGATCCTCAGGCCATGTACAACCCATTCCATATCAGTATGACAATAAATGGAGGCAGTTTCAGTGTGCACTAAGATAAACATCCTCGTAGACAATCAAACTTCCAACGCTCAGCCAGTGGAGGTGGCATACAAAAATGTAATCCATTCAGTCAGAATTCAGAAAATTGAGAGATTTTAGAAAATATGCAATCAAATGCCTTTGAGCAAAGGGGAGTAGATAACAGGGCAAATAGAATAAAAAGCTAAATATAGGACAACAGAAATAACTGGCAGAATAGGAACATAGAAGGAAAAGAATTGAAGAAAACTAGCTGAGTACCCAGGCAGTCCCCAATGCCGAAATCAAATAGAATAGCATGAAATTTATTTCCACTATCCAATCAAATATAATATATCAAGATTGTAGATCTCATGAATTATGTATATGAAGTTCATATACGATAATCTAGGATAAATAAGGAAGCATGCAATACATAACAAGTCATTAAGATAACTCGGGTTTGTAACATAACATACTAGAATGTAATGGAGCGACAAAAACTCACATTTGAAGAATTGTAAGATACTGTTTGTTGCATCCAAAGGAGAAATAATTTTCTTTCCAAGCAAGCTGAGGACCTCTTCAGCCTTGGCATGAAGCCCCTTGCCCTCAAAATCCTCACAACCAGCAAATATCTTCCTAACAAAATCCAGCTCTTTCATCAGAGTCTCAGCATTCCAGTTCTCTGCGCAGCAATTGAACACCTCCTTGACAAATCCAAACATTTCAGAAGAATGATTGCAAGCAAGGCATTGGAACTGCATCTCAGTCGTCCCAATTGGCCCCTTCAGCGTCGGCCCTGGCCTGATTAAATTCCTCTCCAGCGCGCATGCAACATGACACCAGTGTCCGCAGACATCACACCCAACCCAGGTGCAGGTATTTGCAGCACAGTCAAACTTGTGGCATACTGAACACGTGCATGCGCTGCAGAACCCTTTCTTGGTGGAGCAAATCTTGCAATCGCAGTCATCCACTGGCAGCGTGCTCTTACAGTTCAGGTTGCGGCACCGTGTCATGAGGAACATTTCTACAAGCTCACTGCTTGGTACCCGGCCTTTACCGGTGACAAACGTCGCGATTCCAGTCTTGATGGCCACCAGGATCTCAAGCTGCGTCCTGTTCGCCCTCCCCAATGTCTCGGTGGTCAGGTCTGACCGGCGCTCAAGCTTCCGCTGCAGGCTGGCCAGCTCATCCCTCTTCTCATGAGAGTCAATCATGCCCCGCACTGCCTCTCGCAGCAACTCCAGTCGTTCGCTTGGGAAATCCTGCAGCACCTGCGCCATAGCCGTCACAGAGTCGGACACAATATCCCGCAGGATCTTGTCAGGGCGCGACGCGTGAAGCCCACCGCGACCGCCGTCGAAGCTGCCACCCGCGCTGGCAGCAGCCGCCGCGGCCGCCGCCGCCATCCTCGCAGGGAGCTCCGTGGGGAAGAACGACGACGTGCCCTCCTTCAGCGGCGGCGTGGCGAAGGCGACGCTGCCGTCCCCCATGGGGCGGAAATTGAATCGGCTGTGAACGGAGCCGTTGGTACCTTCACCGGCGGCGTAGATGTCGGTGGAGTTGTGCGTGAGGGAACAGCTAGGGTTGTGCGAGAAGATGGAGTAGGAGTAGGACATGTCGTCGGAGTTGATGCTGCGGGTGCGCGCCGTCGTCGCGCTGTAGGTCCTCCTGGCGGGGGCCGCGGGCACGGCCGCCGCCGCCGCCGCTCCCCGTAGATCTCCATCGGTCGCGGGGACGGGCTGGAGGAGCGAGGCGAGCGGCGGCTGGGACGACGGCGGAGCAGCGGGGCCGTCGGAGTTAAGGGACAGCGAGAGCTGGAGGGAGTCGAGGCGGGGCTTCTTACCGCCGACGACGGATGAGTCGTCGCCGGGTGGATCCCCGCGCTTGGGCGCGGAGAGGTGGAGGAAGTCGCGCTCGACGCAGTGCTTGCCGTCGTCGCCAGCCGCGGCTGCAGCAGGGTTCGGCGGCGAGGACGGGCCGGCACCGCCACCGCCACCGGCGGCGGCGGAGGCGAGCGTCGGCTTCTCGCAGAGGTAGCTGCTGAGGGTGAGCTCGCGGTTGGGGAAGGGCGGGTCGGTGGTGGAGGGCGGCGCCCCGGGGTTGGCGTCCTTGGATCCGTCGGAGTCGCCGAACATGGCTGCGGGATTCGCGCCGGATTCGGTGGATTCTCCGGCCGGCTGAGCTGGCCGCGCGACGACGATGAGGAGCAGAGCAGAGGTGGGTGGGAAGGAGAGGCGGCAGAGGCGCTCCGCTTCGTTGACTTCCGCACGCGGAGATGGGGGCGGAAGTGGAGAGGAAACGGCCCGCGATTTGGATTTGGAGGTGGCGATTTATTGGAGTAGAGTACTGTGTGTTTCTTTGGCTCGTTGCGGGGAATCGACGAGATGAGCGACCGACCGGGGGAATGTCACGGCCAGCCGCGTTTCGCAACTGGACAGGAAGCGACTCGTGAGCACGACGAAAACCCACATGATACGCGGGTGAAAAGGTCAAAACCGCATGTGATCTGTGCAACGAGCAACCGGGCGGCTCGGCTCGGTGGTGCGGTTCGAGTCGGCGGAAAGGGGATTTTGCCCTCGGGGTCGCTTGGTGGCTTGCAGACGCGGCAGCAATAAGCGTTTTCGGTGGGGGGAAGCTGGGGATTTGTTTTAGATTATCTCTTGCTTGCTCGTGCGAGCGATGGCTATCATGTCATCCATGGATTAAGCTAGTGCGCAAGTGAGGTGACGACGCGAGTGATGGGGGCACTAGCACGAGGGCTCGATCGGCGCCTTGACCGGTACAGACCACTCGTAGACGAAGTGCGGTATACGCGTTTTACGTTATCAGGATCAGAGAGAAGGAAGAGCCTGAGCCTCCGCTTTTGTGGCATGCATGAACGGATGAATAGAAATACAGAATGGTGATCGGACATTGGATTTGGACACCGTGGGGCAGCAGCGCGTCGTGCACGGTGCACCTGCCTCTCTTGCTCAACGTCAACCCCATGGGGCCGTGACCCAGCTGTTGCCGCTTGGGCCCAGAAGATTTTCTCACGAACAAGTCGCTGGTCTAGGCCATCCGTTGGCAATTGGCATCCGTGTCCGGTGTCCTCCTCCGGGCATCGCTTGATCTCAGCGCCTGCTTGGCAACTTTCCTCGCTCCTGGCCTTCACCATGTTAATGGGCCAAGCCCAGCAGATCTGCCATGAGAAAACTAGTGGAATAAGTCCATATTGACTCCCTTCAAAGTAACACGAATCTAATATGTAACCCTGAAACGCAAAACCAGATATCGTGACTCCCTCAGTTATTAAAATCGGTGCAACTTGACTCCCTCAATGGTTTTGGAGAGTGATTTTGCTGATGTGGTGCCTTGACCCGGTCCAACTAGCTGACTCAGCATGTGAGACCCACACGTAAGTGTCACATTTTTTTTCTCTCCTCTCTTTCTTCATTCCTCTCTTTTTCCCACGCTGTCTAAACAGCGACCAAGACGGGTGCGGATTGGCAACGATGGCGCCGCCACGGCCACACCTCACAGCGCCTGGTACGGTGGCCACCTCGCCGACACCGCCGCGGGCGGCGCTTCTTTCTCTCGCTCCGCATCGTCGGCCTCGACCTCCGCGACAGCCACCTCGCCGACACGGCCACTTGCTCGGCGACCAGACGTCTCGCGGTGGCGGTGGCATCGCCGTCGCCTCTATTTTCCCCGGAGCGTGCGTGCGTGTACACCATGTCCACAGCGCACGTCTGCGTCAGGAACGTCGCGCCAGCCGGGGCACCCATGTCAACAGATGGGCTCGCTTCTCCGCCGCGTCGAGAGCATGGCACGTCACTTGGGATTTCATCAGATGGGTTCAGCTGAAGAAAAATACATCCTCCCCCAGCACGTTTTCAGTGACCCAGACAACTCCTCTGCTCACATTGAGTCTCTTCATCTGGGTTATGTCTGCCTGAACACAGTTGCTACCACTGGTTTTGCTGGCTTTGCCAACACTCATCTTATGGTGATAATCTGGACTACATCTACACTGAGTTTCCTGCCGCTCTTCCTAATGTTCAGAAACTCTCCATTTCCTCGAAGCTATACATCTATGACGGGTATTTATCTGTTTCCAAAAGCAATTAAGTTCATTAATCAGTTGCTGAATTTTACTTGCATCTTGACATATTGGCTTGTCATCTCATCCATATCTTGACTATCATGGTTGTGTTTCAGTTGCAAGGATTTGCCAAAACCTCAGCGAGATTCGTCAATTTGAGGCGCCAGCTGCGGCACCCACGGCATGAACGTGTCGTACAACACCACCGTCGCCGGCCTCCCCTGCTCCGCCTCTTCCCAGACCAGCTCGTCCAGCGCCACCGACCCGACCTCCTCCAGCCGCTCGAAGTACGGGCCACGGTGGCCGCCGAGATCCGCTGGGCCGCCCTCGTCGCAGCCGTCGGAGAACACCACGACGTGCACCGACGACGAACCAAGGCAGGGCTTGGTCAAGCCGACGACGAACCGCGTCACAGCGACGGTGCACCGGACGCCGCCATGACCGCGAAGACGAGCAGCGGCGGCGGCGCCGGTGGGATGGGAGGCCACGAGCGCTGACGGCTCCCTCCCGCACGCCGCCGCCACTCCGCCTCCATCGCCGAAGAGGGAGAGAGAGAGAGAGAGGGAGGAGGAAGAAGGGATAGACCCATATGCCGCACATGCCGACGGCTCCCTCGAGCTCTGGCTCCTCTCCCACGGTGCCGCCGGCGCCTACGCCCTCCCGCCCACCGCTGCCACTCCGCCTCCGCCCCTGCCGCTGCTGGCCCTCGCTCGCCGAAGAGGAGAGAGAGGGGGGTAAGGGGGAGAGGGAGGAGGGAGGAGGAAGAAAGGATAGACCCAGTGGGCCCTATAATTTTTTTTCGAATGACGAATGGGTCTCATATGTATGTTTTCAGATATAATGCCACATAAGCACCACGTCAACAGTAGATCAAGTCAACACTGCCATGTAAACACCACGTCAGCAAAACTAATCTAAAAAACCGCTGAAAGAGTCAAGTTACATCGGTTTTAATAGTTGAGGGAATCAAGATATATGGTTTTGGGTTCAGGGTCACGGATTTGATTCGGTTATTCTTAAAGGAGCCAAAGTGGACTAATGCCAAAACTAGTCTCCTTGTGGGTTGTGGCCCGAACGAAAGAGGGCCTAAATTGTGGTGTGAGAGGGCCCGGTGGGTTGTCCATTGTTCAAAGTAGTGGGCCAGGCCGTGAGCTGTCACAGCACGGCCATATTCCCTCGTTGTCGAGTGCTTTTCCGGTTCCTATCTCACCGTGGTTAGTTCGTGTGCTAAAATTTTTTTTAAGTATATGAATATATATTTGAATTATTAAACTTAGACTAATAATAAAATAAATTATAGATTCTGTCTGTAAACAGCGAGACGAATATATTAAACCTAATTAATCCGTCATTAGCAAATGTTTACTGTAGCATTACATTGTCAAATCATGGCGTAATTAGACTCAAATGATTCGTCTCACAATTTACATACAAACTGTGCAATTGGTTTTTTTCGTACACATTTAATGCTCCATACATGTGTCCAAACATTTGATGTGACGGAAAAGTTAAAAGTTTGACGAAAATTTTTTGACGAAAACACGGCCTCTATCTGCATTTGCTCGTAGCCTCGTAGGAATATCGATGTGCTTCATATGCTTCAGAATCCCTCGAATCCGTAGCAACAAGCGTTTTGATCTTAGGTCTGAATTCTGAAAGCTGTACGTAGATGCTAGATTGATAGGTAGGTATTCAACCCTACCATGTTGTTGTCGTTAAAGCGTAGGATTCCTTCAAACCAAAAATGAGGAGAAAAAGCGCGCACAAACGCTACCCCCGTGAATAAAACGGATAGAGGCAACCGCTAGCGAACAAAACCCGGAACGAAGCAACTGGTCCAAAAAGAGAACCGGACACGAGGAAAAAGGCACACGCCCGAGAGCTCCAACTCGATCAGCAATGCAAGAGAGGAAAAGGCAGGAACAAACGCCTCGGAGAGACTAGAGAGGGGTTGGCAATGGGCCAATGGCCATGGCCATCACCTAGGCAGCCAGCCCCAATCCAGTTCATCGTCTCGATAGGCTGCTCCGGGATCAAAACCCGGTGGTCCAAAAGGAGAAGCAACAAGCAAAGCAAGGATTACCCAGCAGCAGCTGGTTGGTAGACCCGTCCATTGTCCTCTCTGACTCTACTCCTCCCTCTCTCTGTCCCTTTTCACGGCCGTTTTTGGGTGTGTGTGGCCAGTGATGAGTGGACTTTGCCGCTCGATGGCAGACGACACTGCATTCACTCCGCTGACACGGCGATTATCAAGGCTAACCGAGACGTTTCACTGCTGACTACAGTGGCCACTAGCTGACGGCCTGACACCTTGGTTCTCTTTCGTTGCCTGTTCTGTTCTTCCAACGCCCCGAAACCTCCGGTGCTTCTCCTGTGCACCAGTCGCGTTCGGGGCAACGGCAATTATTAGTACTCCGTACTAGTAGTGGCACTCAATGTTCGGTATCTGCTTTGTAGACTGACAGTGATAGTATTGTACTGCTATACGTTGGTTGCATTGCATGCTTGACACTCTAGGATACCCCGTCTGAAGGTCTCTTGGACTGGACCAGAAGGGTGTACGTTTCTTGGGCGATACTTTGCCGAATGACAGATGCTTTCCTTGTTTATGATTGTACTGGAGACCAGGTTGTGATGATCGATCAGTCCATACACCAGAAAACGGGAGGCATGTGAACCTGTGACTCATCTGATGAGCCTTGCTTGGAGAAGGCACATAAGTCGTGAGCTTGTGTATATGCATAGGTTGAGTGAGATTTGTACTGGTACTCCATTCAAGTACAGTAATCAGATGTATAACCACAAAACATGGTACTGCTACTACACTCATCATGTATAGTGCAATCACTGTGAGTTCAACTCCCAATAAAGAGCAGCTCAATTGCTCATCCATGTCCTGCTCTGCCTCTCCATTCACATCTCCAGCACATGAGAAAAGGTAGCTGCCTTTTCAATCCATTAAACTAGCCCCATTAACCAGCCAGCGAGAGCAGCTAGCACAAGGGAACAGAGCAGCACACGAAACAGAGGGAAGCAGAGTAGCCGAGAGCGAGCGAGAGACGCAGAGAAGCGAGCAGGGCGGGGCCATGGCCATGGCTCGCTGTTCCTTGCTACCGATCTTGGCCGCCGTCCTCTTGGCGGCGTCGCTGTCGCTGCCACCGCGCGCTGCCGCGTACGCCGCCATGGTGGACAGCCTCCTCCCCGCGTCAGCGACGGCTCTCTCCTTCGAGGAAGGCTACACCCAGCTGTTCGGCGACTCCAACCTCATGCTCCACGGCGACGGGAAGAGAGTGCACATCTCCCTCGACGAGCGGACAGGTAGGTCATGCATCAGCCGCATCGATGCAATGGCCAATGGTAGCCTCTGTTCATGTCGTGTCTCACCGTGCTGGCGTTCTGTTTCAGGCGCCGGGTTCGCCTCGCAGGGCGCGTACCACCACGGGTTCTTCAGCGCCAGCATCAAGCTTCCCGCCGACCACACTGCCGGCGTCGTCGTCGCTTTCTACGTAAGTATCACCAACTCCTTGCGAACCAATAGGTGCAAATGTGCAATGCGGCAAGAAATCTTAATACTGAAGTTAGCACTCGATAGCTTGGGTTTATCGCGATGCATGGTTGTGACGGCATTGTCGTTTTGGCCGCAGATGTCGAACGGGGACGTGTACGAGAGGACGCACGACGAGCTGGACTTCGAGTTCCTGGGGAACGTGAGGGGGAGGGAGTGGAGGGTGCAGACCAACGTGTACGGCAACGGCAGCACGGCGGCCGGCCGGGAGGAGAGGTACGGCCTCTGGTTCGACCCCACCCAGGACTTCCACCGCTACGCCATCCGCTGGAGCCATGACACGATCATGTAAGATAACCGATCCGCCATTTTAGCTCGGTTTTACTCTTCGATAATGCAGCGTGTCAGATGTCACTGTGCAGTCTCTGGCTCGCCATAAGAGCTTGCCTACATCAGTATATCACGCTTCACAAGCGTTGAGATTCACAAACGCTTCACGAACTTCAGAGATACTCAGTATATATTCTGCAGACTCACTAGAGTTATGTATCTGTCATCAGTATATCAGAATATATGATAACATTATTCTGTGATACGCTGATAGCAGAATGGTGAAATGACAGTTTTCTTCTTCTGAAAACGAAGCCAGCGTCTGCTAGTGTTATATTAAGCAGAACACTCCTATACGTACTATTTTTTCCATACTAAATTTTTACTAACAATCATCTTAACGGTTTAATTTAGGTAGATGGAAGTTATGAAAAATCTAGATGCATTCCTAGCATGACACATTGTTTTAGTAAGAATTTAGTAAGAAAAAGTTAGTATGTATAGCCTTTTCCCATAAAAGATTAGAAGAGTACAATGTCAGTTAACTACCCTCTGATGTCATATTGTCATACTTGCAGTTCTTCATTGTGCTAAACTAGTAATAGTGCAATTCTGCATAGTGATTGTGTTCTTTCTATTATGGTGTGTTGTGTACCTCAACAAATTGATATTCACTATCACTATTACTTTTTGTATGCTTGCATTCCTTCCTTTTCTTTATTTTCTGGTTATCATGGGCCATGATTGGGAGATATCAGTTTGCTCTTCCTTTACAGCTTATAGATTCCTTGTGCTGTTTACACTTTGATAGGAGTAATAAGTAGAGGCCCCAAAACTGAGATGGGCATTATCACAATATTTTTCTGATTTAGTTAACCACAGCAATCACTGGACTCTGAAATTCTGTAACCAAATCACTGCAAATTACTGATGCAACTGCTCTAAAAAACATTGATGCATCCTATACTGCTACACGCGAGATCGTGTGAAAAAAGTTGACATCACATGTGGTGCGTTTGCTTTTACAGTTTCCACTGAACCTGAGCATTGATCATACCATGTGCATGATAACTCTCTATCAATATATCTGATATCCTTCCACCGAGATCCCCGTGCCAACCTTTTCTCGCATATAATTGCATTTGATAACCTACTTTCTCCGCTAACCTGCATAACTTCTGTAGTTGTGCGATCGGTCATAGGCGAACTTCTGAATTCTTTGTATCTGTGTCGCATGATGGAGGAGGGAAATGTCAGCACCGGGAGCTACTTTCTATCCATTGTTTCAAAAACTGCCACCCACTTTCCTCCGTGTTTTTCTCCATGAAATCTGTTAGATTCGTGGGTGACAATGACGTCTTTATTTTGCCAAAACCGAAATTCATTACTAGCCACTACACGTGGCCAAAGTCTGAACTTCTCAAAGTTTTCACTGCCAACCTATTGGTTTCAGAGTTCAAGAGTTCAGAGATACAGGGTTCATCTGCCTCTAGTAATCTAGTTTACCCTTCTACTCCTACAGAACCAACTGTCAATCATAAAATCAAAATTTACTGAACTACTCCTACAGAACTACGGAGTAAAACTGTGTCATGTGTGACACTGCAATAATGTAGAGCAGGATCAGTAACCTTCACTTCCTTGTTCGTTGCACGGTTGTACTGACTGTCCTGTCCATTATGCAGATTCTACGTTGACGAGACGCCGATCAGGGAGGTGGTGAGGACGGCGTCCATGGGCGCGCAGTTCCCGTCCAAGCCCATGTCGCTGTACGCCACCATCTGGGACGGCTCGAGCTGGGCCACCTCGGGCGGCCGGTACAAGGTGAACTACAAGTACGCGCCCTACGTCGCCGAGTTCACCGACCTCCTGCTCCACGGCTGCCCCGCCGGCTCCCCGCCGCCGTGCGAGGGCGCCGCCGCCTCCGCGACGATGCCGCCCGGGCAGCGGTCGGCGATGGAGAGGTTCCGGGCGAGGCACATGACGTACGGGTACTGCTACGACCGCGTCCGGTACCACGCGCCGCTGCCGGAGTGCAGCGTCGGCGCGGAGGCCGAGGCGTTCCTCCCGTCCGGCGAGGCGAGGTCGACGGACCGCCGCGGCGGCAGGCACGGCAAGCGCCACCGGCGCGCCGGCGGCGGCGTGGATTCCGCGCTCTGACCGATTCTGTGATCCGCACAGCGCCGCTCGCGATGGTGGCGCGCGTGCTCGACTGTACTATCGTGCCGTGTGTGATGTCGTACGTGATTATAGTTTCCTGGTCTCTGACGTGTGCCACCGGTGCAGAGCTCGCCATTGGTCATAGTGTTCTCACAACTTCCTACTTCTGCGTGCCATTCTTTGGTCAGTTCGTAGACGGCACCATATCCACCTCTGTCCAGCGACGCGCGCTCGGAGGCGGTGAAAAAACACGTCACGTACGTCGACCTCCGCCTCACGGGCCACGGCAAAAGCTGATCCGGCCCTCGATCAATTGGCACTTTGGCAGCCCGGCCCGGTGTAAAATGGATCGTAACAGACACGAAACTCGACATGACTCATCCTTATAAACACACGCACATGCACACCTATATTACCTTGCACTAAAAGAATAATTAATTATAATTATGAACACCTATGTCAAGTTTATAACTTAACCTTATTGGGTTAGTTTCACCACAAGAAACCTAACCAATTAAGTTACGCTCACTTCGTACGTGACTTATTGTTTATTGTTTTAAGCCGCTCAATTCCGCACTTGTGATTTGTACAAGGTTTCACTAAAAGTATTATGTGTTCCTCATCCTTAGACGGGATCCCTCCCGGGTGTACCTACTACACCCTACTTCGCGCAGATGCGCGAGGAGGAGAAGCAGCGCGCACTTTTGCCGTGTCGACTCCCTAGCGCTCAGGCCCACCCACTAATTAAGTAATTAGTGTCAATTGTCATCATTAGCACTATTTTAAAGAAAAACCATGTATACATAATTTAGTTACAACTTTTAAAATAGTTGAAAGTTCTAAATTTGTAGTGGAAGGATTTTGAAATTTGAGTAAAAAGTTTCCAATTCAAAATTCAAGTTGAATTTTTTGAATTTTGAAATGAAAATTTCCAATTTGAGATGAAATTTTTCAATTTTGAGTTGAAAATTTTTCAAATTTGAGTAGAAAGTTTTCAAAATCGAGTTGAAAGTTTTTAAAATCGAGTTGAAAGTTTTCAAATCTCGAGTTGAGAGTTTTCAAAACCGAGATAATAAGTTGAAAATTTTCAAATTTTGACTTCAAAAATTCAAATTTCGAGTTGAAAATTTTCAAATCTAGGTTGAATTTTTTCAGAATTTGACTTCACGTATAAATTTCTTTTCAATCTATTACTTAAAAAAATATTAAAAAAAAATCTTATCTTAATTATCATCATTATCTGGACGGATTAGTTACTGTACGTTCGTGTGCACGTGATTAAAAAAATTCACGCTGAGAAAAAATTTGTGAAAAAAAATTATGCGCGTATGATTGAGAAATCCACGGAAAAAATCAAAACACGTCCCGCTAGTTGCATGGGCCTTACGTAGTCATGTGGGCTTGTCGGAAGAGTGCGCGCCGGCGACGCGTACTACGCGTCCCTCCCCTAGCAGCCTAAAAATAACAAATACTAGTACATTCGTTTTTAAATAGATAATCGTTAATTATTCAACACAAGTATGACAACCATTTATCTTATTAAAAACATTATGAAATTATCTTTTATTTTGTTGTGAGTTGTTTTATCCTTAAAAGTACTTTAAGGTTTAAGCATGCTTTATATTTTATGCATTTGCAAAAAAAAATTAAATAAAACAAATAGTCAAACGTGTGTTCAAAGTCAATGTTGTCATATATTAAAAAAACGGACAATATCTATATTCATATTTTGTACATTTATTTTCTATGGAGTATTTACTAAGTAAGGCTGCGTTCTTTCCTTGCAGTTGGGAACTAATCTCCCGCGCGCCAAGCGACTCATTAGCACATAATTAGCTATTTTTTGAAATATGGATTAATATGGTTTTTTAAGAACTTTTTTTATAAAAGACGTATCGTTTAACAATTTAAAAAGTGTGCGCGTGAAAAACGAGAAAGATGGGTTGGAAAACTCTGCTGCCGAACACAAGATAAGCATATCGTGGAACGACATTATCTAATATTGATCTATCTCAATATTGTTTCAAAACGTTAACAAGAAACTATGACTTTTTAGATGGTATTTAAAGACAAGGGATATCCCCTCGAACCAAACTGGCTTGAGAGCCTATTTGATTGGTGACCTTTGCTTGAGTGTTGCATGAGGTAGGAGTGGTTCGTGCCTGCCTGAGACAAACCTGTTTGGTTGGTGACCTATGCCGGAGAACACTTAAAACTAATATTATTTTATATCTTTCTCTTTTAAGCTTGGAGTTTAATCACAAATCCAATATAGATACTTGAAAGATTTAACAAGTAATTTTTTTAGTCTCATAACATATCTTTAGCTAATCAAGTGGAGAGCAGTTCAGCATGCAAAAGAAGCAACCAGCTGCAGCGTGAGAGAATTACTTTTATCAAGAGGCCTGGCAGTGCATGCAACTCAGCCCACCAAATTTGATCATCGGTCCGTTCTTTTCTCAAACAAGATTTGGCTATAGCTCTTTGAGTAAAGACTGGAATGCTCTATTCCATTATTAAAAAAAAAGAGTTGGATGAATATTAAGATTTTCGTGGCATGCTTTTCAAACTGCTAAACGATGCATTTCGTGTAATAAAAAATAAAAGTTACTCTAAAATGTCATATTAATATATTTTCAAGTTTGTAGTAATTAAAACTCAATCAATCATACGTTAATACCACATCGTTTTGTGTAAAAAAACTTAATCTTCATCTTCATCTTCAGGAAAAAAGAACACCACCTTATGAGGTGTTTAGATTTAAGGGTGTAAAATTTTAGTGTGTCACATCGGATATTATATGGGGTGTCACTAAAATATTCGGACACTAATAACAAAACTAATTACAATGGCTCAGACACAAACCAAACAAGATTAAATTTTCTCATACTTGTCCCTGGCTAGGTATATTTGTCTCATGGTGCCAACCAAAAAGCCTCCAAATCCCACCTTCCTTGTAATTGCTTGTGACCGCGATATCAAGATAATCCACGTGGTTTTACATTTGTGTAGCAAAACTTCCATAATTCGGCCAATGGAAATAAAGGGGAACTGATTAGTGATACCTCCTTAACACAGAACAGAACATATGCTAGCAATTTGGCGCTCCGTCAGTTAGGCGCGTGACTTTTGCCCATTCCGCCGTGCATCAGCAGTGCAGCAGATTGCACGCAAGTGTGGCAACCATTGTCATCCATCGCCCTTGGAAGTTAAGCCTACAGTGGTACTCCACTGTGGTAGCGGTTGGACTTGGACCTGTGCTCTTCCCTGACCCTGTTGTCGTACCGCCGCAGCAAATGACCTGCCAAAAGAGGAACACCGATCGGAATTCTCAAGCGATGGATAGGCATGTGTACTGAATTTATACTTGGATCACGACAGCAGTGTTTCGTTCTGTTCGTGCATGACACGTCCCGCTGCCAGACTAGTCGCTGTTGCAAGTCTTTTTCGGAAACGTTCCTATTACCGGGCCAGCGCAAGCACGTGTTACTGAATCGTTCTGAAAACGATCACATTTTCTGAACGAGTACTTGCTCGTTCAACTTGAGACGTTCACAGCACGCTCACGGTCCGATTGCCATTCTCTTACACGGTAGGACTCACGATCGCTCGATTGACTTGGACTTTTAAATAAAAGGGAACCCGGGGACTCGAAAGTCGAAACCCGAAACCGTTCCTTGCATCGTCAACAAAGCAAGATTGCTTCGCAAGAAACCTTCGCGGTTTCCACTGCAAACCAACGTGCTCGAGCCAGTGACAGTCGTCCAACCTATCTGCCAGACTTGCCACCACCTTGATCAGTGATCACTCGCTCGTCAAGACCAGACGGCTCGTGCGTCCACGCGCCACCGTTGCCGTCAAAACTAAAATTAAACCAAACTAATCACACTGACACAGTGACACTCGTAGGCTCGAAGTAGATCGGATGGTTGGCTAAGGTTTCGGGCTGGTGTCCGTGCCGTCCTGGTGCACCAAAGCAGGCGCCCATTCCAAACCGAGCCCGCGCCGAGGAGGAAACGACACGGCCTGGTACGTACTGTGCGCGAGCTACCCAAGCCAGCACGAAATTAATTTTCACCAACGGAGGCTGACACGAAGGCCCCGCCGCGACGCCGCACGCGAGCCGGCATGTATGGGTTGGGTGGGGAGCAGGCGGTGCGGTTCGTCGTCGCTGACGCCGCGCGCGTGGGTGTGGTGGCGTAAAGCGGCGCGACGCCACCGCCCCGTGACCGTGTGTGAATGTGGTGATCCATCCATGAATCCGATCCCGCAACCACCAAACCCGCATTATGGCGTGGAGACTCGCCAACCGACACCCACCCAGCCCGCCGCCTCCTCCGCGCAACCCCCCGCATCCCTCGGCCGTCCGTTCCGATGCGCGCGGAGCGATCTAACGGCACCGTGACTCTCACCAGAGTCTTACTGCTAACCCCGTTTTTCTCTCCTACGTACACGCACGCGCGGTAACGAGTTAACCACGCGGGGACAGGGCGCTGACAGTGGGGCCTGGCCACCAACCACTCACTAATCGCCTCAACGGCCATCTCCCCGGTTTCCGAATCTCGAAGCAAAAGCCTCCACCTCGCGAGATCGTTAGGTTTCTCACAACCCGGTGGCTACGTGAGCCACTGACAAGCCGGTCCCGCTCCTCCTCCTCCTCGCCTCCAGTTTCGGGAATCTTCCGTTCCCAGATCCGCCTCTTCCCTCCTCCTCTTCACATCTCGCGCTGCTGCTCTCCTCTTCCGTTCCAACGCCCCACCACCAGAGACAAAACAGCTTGCCTTTTGAAAAAGGAAAAAGAAGAAAAAGAAGAAGAAGAAGAAGAAAAAACACGGCAAAACCCTAGATCTCTCGCTAGTTTCGTTCTCCTTCGCTCGCATTGCTGGTTGGGGTTCGCCTTTCTATGACCGGAGACTCTCAGTGAGGAAAGGCGATGGCCTCCGCCGCCGTCATCCCGTCGTCCGCGCCCGGCGCCGCCGCCGCAGGTGCGGCCGCGGTTGAGAGCGCTGGGTGGGTGGTGGACGAGCGGGACGGCTTCATTTCATGGCTGCGCGGAGAGTTCGCGGCGGCCAACGCCATCATCGACCTGCTGCTGCTCCACCTCCGCTCCGTCGGCGAGCCCGGGGAGTTCGAGCACGTCGCCGCCGCGGTGCAGCAGCGGCGCCACCACTGGGCGCCCGTGATCCACATGCAGCAGTTCTTCCCCGTCGGCGACGTCGCGTACGCGCTCCAGCAGGCCGGGTGGCGCCGCCGCGCGCCGCCGCACCACCAGCAGCAGGGCCCCGGCGCCTCGCCGTCCCCGCCGCCCCCTCCCCCGCGCGGCCGCCCCTCGTTCTCGGCGTCCCACTCGCACCATCGCCACGGTGGTCACCATCATCGCTCCGATTCGGTGCGCGGCGGCGGCACTGGTGCGACGGCTGGATCCGATAAAGATGGTGAGTCGAGATCTCTTGGTGTGATAGCATTGATCTTCTTTCAATTGTTTGTTTGGTACTAGTGTATTTTGTTGTGGGAAAGGCGGATGCTTTTTTACTTCTTTCTGATCACTTGGGCCCCAAAATGGTCCGATCCATGGAATGCATTTGTGGTGTTGAGTTGCTTGTTTACTACTACTCCCAATTGACTAGCCACAGGAGCTTTTTTTCATCAGATAATATCTGCTGTCGAAAAGTGCTAATTTTGCTATGCTTAAAAAGTGCTAAGTCTTGTCGCTGTTTTCTGGCATTCGTGTTTGTAATTAGTATATTGAGCTCTAAAATGACAAGCTTTTATCTTTTTGTCGTGTAATTCTATATATATTGCTAAACCATGGAGGTTCTAAAGATACCAGCAATGCTACCCGAAAATAGCTTTCCCATGTAGTATTATAGGCACATGCAAAGATTGTTTTGAGTTGCTTCATGTGGAAACGGTTTTGCTCAGTGCATTAAGAGATACCCTTTTCTTTCTGCTTATAAAAATGTTTTTTTACCTGTAATTTATTTGAGTTGGAACTGGCTCAGGTAAAGGGGGCCATTCTCTTAGTTTCAAATTTACCCTGTAAATCTCTCAAAGAAGGTACATGTTCCATGTGCTCTGCTCTTCATGTGCCCTGTGAAGTTGTCATCCTCGAACTCTGCCAGGCCAAATACGGAAAACCCAGAGATGGCGTACAGCATGATCGTGCTCACCCATGTACGACTACGAAAGTTTTTACTGCCAACTTCTTGTACTTCTGAGGTGCTTTGGTTCATAAACCACTGGGTTTGTTGAACACCTGTGGTTGGTTTGAGAGCAATCAGCTTAGGTAGCAAGAACAATCAGTGATGGCAGAGGTTGTTGTTCCATTTTTGTTCCTAGGGAAGCTTTGTTGTCTTCATCGTAGTTTGGAACACACCATCTAGGAGAAACCCAAAGGGTGGAAGATACAATCACTGTCTAATCGGCCTTGCATACTTTTAGGTGTGGACCCACCTGACCCTTTACGTTTGCCCGTAGGATTTCCATGCAAGCATCTGTAGAGTTAGAAATTGCAATGCAAATGCTTGAACAAGTAGTTTTCACATTGTTTCTCATGTATTCTTGACTGCTCCTAGGACGTGAAGTTCATAACAAGGAAGAGAAAGGAATGAAGGAAGCAGAGAATGTGGTTGAAGCTAAAAGCTCACAGTTGGAGTCTCTTGTTTCTCATGGTACACAAGCACTTACTCATGTATCTGTGCTTAATATTGTTCAAATTTTTTAATGCTAAATTGTGGTGTTGCCATTCTCCTGATTAATGTTTCTAGTTACCTCCTTTTGTAACATTTGAGTTCTGCTAAAGTCAATTTATGTTCTGTTGCTTTATGTCCCCATAACTATGTTGTTTTTTCAATAGTTCTCTAGATTCTTGTAGAACATAGGACAGACCCTTAGTTTGGAAAAGAATTGTCTAAAAAAGACAGCAATAAATTGCAACCCACAATGCTTGGATTTCTACCCTGTCAGCAAAAATTCGAATTTATTTTACTATTGTGTGTTATTTTTTTTGAAAAATGATGGTGAAGCAATCTCAATCTGAAGATGACTTTCATTAGTTTTCTTAAGTGGCTATCTCCACCTCAAATTTAGTCCAACTATGTCAATGACTTGGTCACATTTGGAATATTTTGAAATTGTTCATAAAATTGTTAGACCACATTACTTACAACCTTAATTTTATAGCGTGAGGATGCAATACTGGTAAAATAGGATCAGGAATTTTGGCCCTTTTCTTTTTTTCTAGACTGACAAAAGCTAGGAAACTGTTTCCACTTTCCAGCTTGTTGATACATTGTCGAATATTTATACAGGCAGAATAGTACATTTATTGCTGGCTGCTATACTTTTTGTTCTTGCTTCTGATAGTTTCCATATAGTGATGCAATAATTTTTTATCATTTCTTAACATCTTATTGTCCTTGCATCATGTAGAAGGTGAAAAAACTCCTAGGCCGCAAGCTGTTGCTGAAGGAAGCAGTAAAGTGGTTCCAACTCCTGTGGAGTATACGGTCAATGACATTATTGATGGCAAGACGGTCTGTTTTACCTAGATCAGAAATTCTAGTGCTGTATTCGCATCTCCTTTTCAACTAGCTTCTCTTGAATCTCGAAGATTTGATGAAATATGCTTTATGCTTCTTTAGGTTAATGCTGTTGAAGGGCTTAAGGTTTATGAAGGGTTGGTAAATGAGAATGAGAAAAACAAGATTCTCTCTTTACTTAATGAAACAAAAGCTTCTTTTCGTCGAGGAGGGCTTGAAGGTAGACTTACCTTCTTTTTTTTGGGTGAAATAACCATGAACAGCTATTCATTTGTGTGCTAATGTGTTCACTGTGCACCACGTGGTTGTGCACTAAGATTCCAGTTTTGCAAAATCTGTTTCCATATCTGTATATAAAAAAGTGTACCATGAGTCCATCAAAGATTATTTGTCTGAGAAACAGCCTTTTCTTATGCTTAGTTGATCAACTAGAAAATCATTGACAGTTACTTTTGCGGCTCCTTTTGGATATGTGTCTGACACTTATGTTAGTACATGGTTAATTTGACCCTTTTTCTCTAGTTTGTGTTCAGCATCTATGTCAACTATGACGCTGAACACAAACTGACACAGATGCTGAGCACAAACTAGAGAAAAAGGGTCATATTAACCATGTAACATTTTGGGATCTTGTCACTTCACTATGATTTTTTTTGGTAAAACAGCTGGGCAGACTGTAATAATTGGAAAAAGACCAATGAAGGGTCATGGGAGGGAAATTATTCAGCTGGGCATTCCTATCGTTGAAGGCCCTCCTGAAGATGACTATCCAAGAGGTAGATCTAGTCTTCAGTGTAGTGTCTCATGCTTGTGTTCATATTTTTTTTATAACTTCCCTATCTGCGTTCATATTCAAAATTTTAGAGACAAAAGTGGAGGCTGTTCCTGGATTGCTGCATGATCTGTTTGACCGCTTGTGTCAGAAGGAAATTATACCAACAAAACCAGATTATTGTGTTATTGATTACTACAATGAGGTATCTTGCTTTCATAGCATTTACTGTTTTTGCTTAACATGGATTCTGACCAGGATCAAATGATTTTTTTCCCCAGGGGGATTATTCTCACCCTCACCAATCCCCTCCTTGGTATGGTAGACCCTTTTGTACATTCTGCCTGACAGATTGTGATATGGTGTTCGGCCGAGTTATTTCAGGAGAACGAGGTGATCATAGAGGTCCTCTGAAGCTCTCTCTCTCGACAGGGTAAAACTTTCTCCAGTACCTTTTGTCCTCTGTTACGTGTTAAGTGTGCACAGTAAGCTTAACGGTTGGAATCCCTTGCTTGATTATTGATGTTTTCTTGAAAAATCTTTAATACTTGTGGTTTGGTATACACACACACACACGTATGTATGTGTGATGAATATTTTAGATGTCAACACTTTCATTTTTATTTACTTACTACATAATCGTGTGGATTAGTCCCCTATAAGAATATCATAATGACCATGTTTACCCCTCTTATGTAGCAATATGCCCATATAATAAGGATATAAGCATGGTGGTTCCCCTTTGTATTACTCAAAATTTTACACCCCGTTAGTATTTAAATGTGTAAGATGCTTTCATTTTTCACTAAAAGCACTGTAATTCAATACTGTATTTAAGATGCATTACAATATGGAGTATCATTTTTCACTAAAAGCACCGTATAATTTTCATGCTCTTTTCTTTTCCTCTCGACTACAGGTCTCTTCTGGTGTTGCATGGGAAGAGTGCTGATGTTGCTAAGCGAGCTATTCCTGCTGCATGTAAGCAGCGGATCCTACTAAGCTTCGGGAAGTCTTTATCGAGAAAACAAGTACCATCTGAAAGTGTTTCACGGTTTACTACCCCGTTGACACCACCTCCTATGCCCTGGGGTCCTCCAAGGCCGGCTAACATGGCGCGTCATTCTTCAAGCCCTAAACACTTTGGATATGCCCCAAACAGTGGCGTACTTCCAGCGCCGGCCATTGGAGCGCATCACATTCCTCCATCAGATGGAATGCAGCCACTCTTTGTAGCACCTGCTCCAGTTGCTGCTGCAGCCATGCCTTTCCCATCACCTGTTCCTTTGCCAAACTCAACAACAGCTTGGATGGCAGAAGCTGCTCCAAGGTCTGCTCCACAACGACTCCCAGTTCCTGGCACGGGGGTCTTCCTTCCTCCTGGATCGGGTCACGCACTGCCTCATCAGATGATGACAGCTTCTCAGTCTCCTGCCGAGCCAATCTCTTCAACAGATTCATCTGCTTACGTGCATAACAAGAGCACCAGCACCATGGGGGAGATGGCCAACGGTGACGTTTCTCCAAAGAGCTCACCAGCAAAACAATCCGACGCGGTTGAGCAGAAACCAGAGTGCAATGGGAGCTCGAATGGTGGCAGTAGCTTGGTGGATAAGAAGTCTGCTGTAAGTAAGGAGCAGCAGAATGGTGGGATGAAGAAGGTTGGGAGCAACAAGGTCCAGCCGAATGCCGCAAAATAGAGGCAGGGTTGTAGTACATAGACAACAACAAAAAGACATGAAGAGATGAGGAAACTTCAATTTTTTGGATCGTGTGGTTGCAAGCACAGAAAGAAATCCCAGGAGTATGCTGCGCTCAAGTGAGAGCTTCATCGACAGCAGTGTTGCTGTCGCGGCTGTCGCCCATGGCCTGAGACCTCGCTGTCGAGTTCTTAGGACTGAATGCTATATTAAATTTTGTAGCTGCTCTGTAGCACAACTGGATGATCACTCTGCTCTAAGTTATCCTTGGCAATTATCTTATGGAGATATGGGGCTATGTGCTATGACCATTTCTGCGGCATTTGTTCTTTGCTAATCTCTTATCATTCTATGCTCCTAGCATCTGGGGAATGAGAATTTGTGTAGCAAATGTGCGTGCTGATGCCTATGGATGCGTCGTTCTTTACTGACAATGTTCTGGCATGTAGAGCCGCTTGACAATCTTTTCGTGACGAGTAGTTAAGTTAATTGTAGTATGCAATTTACCTGAAGGATCTTACTACTGAATCATTTTCTCCGATACTCGAGGCTATACTGACCTGAACCAAGTTTACCGTGTTTCTGAAACGTTTATTTCCAATACGCCAGAATCAAATTTTTGGTACGATACATACATTGACCAGCAAGACATGTAAATATGGGGACATATGGCACTGATCAGTCATCACCAATTTGACAACGGGAGACGAGCAACCTGAACAGCGTGTTTAATTATATGGGCCGGATGGGCCTTGTAATCGAGAGGCGTAGAAGGATTCGGCTCGGCCTAGAAATCTAACATCGGTGCATCGTGGGCCGCAGGCCCGCAGTTGCCCACACGCCACCTCTTCTGCTGGGTCCCGCCTGTCGGTATCCCCCACTCCACACTTCCACAACTCCGACCATGTCCGCGGCCGCCGCTTCGCCTCCGCCTCCCGCCGCCGCCGGCGAACACCTCCGCTTCCACCTCCGCGGCTTCCTCTCCCCGGAGACCTGCAAGGTATATACCTTCTTCCCCTTTTGGCCTCTCCGCCTGAATCATCTCAAAGGCTCTCCGAACCATGGCTTTGGTGCGACGGGAATCGCGTGCGCAGGAGCTGGAGTTCGTGCACCGGAGCTGCGGCACGGCCGGGTACCGCCCTTCGGTGGTGTCGACGTCGCTTCCGCACCTGGCTGCCACCGGCTGCGGCCACCTCCTCCTCCCGTTCGTCCCCGTCCGCGAGCGGCTCCGCGACGCCGTCGAGTCGGCCTTCTCCTGCCACTTCGACCTCTTCATCGAGTTCACCGGGCTCATCAGGTGCTGAGCAATCACGTGATGTGCATGTGCATTCATTGCCGACTCGATTCTAGTACGTTCGCAGCTTGACGTCCACATCGAAATGGTTGCTGTTCGTAGTTGAGGAATTTAGTGTGCAGTGTAAGTTCGGAATTGCTTGCCGTTACGATGCCATGCATATTCAGTGAATGGGTGGTAGAGTGAGTTTCCAGGTTGCTGAAGCACCGTAGGTCAAGTGGAAATATCACTGGGTTTGTGGGATTTCCTGTCCTGTTAAGTATCCAGCGAGACACATTTGAGTTCTATTGTGGAATCGTGGTAATTTTCATGGGAAAACTTTTCCTAACCATTGTTATGACAGCTTTTCCTAACTATTAGTACATGGGAAAACATTGAGATCTAAAAACAGCCCCTCTTATTGTTCTAGCAACTGCATAAGAATGAACAGTATGTTTTACCATATAAAAACGTCATCACCTTACTCACTTGCTTCCCGAAAGCTAGTTCAAGAGTTCTTCTCTGAAAATACTCGACAGTTGACACTAAAATGCTATTCGTATTGGAATCCTGTCTGTTGGGTCTGCAGTTGGTGCAAGGGAGCTTCTATTGGGTGGCACAGTGATGACAACAAACCTTATCTTAGGCAAAGAGCCTTCACGGTGAGGGTCAATCTATCTTTGGGTATTTAGTCAACTTTTATAGTTGTTTTCATGTCTACATATTGTTTTGTCTGTTCCAACAAACTGTATTTCATGCAAGCATTCATTTCGGTGCTTCTGATATTGTGAATTGCATTTTTTTTGTATGATTATCTAGTTAATCTTATTTTGTATGAGTAATTTATCTCTGTTTGTGGGACTATCTAGGTCCTGTCCAAAATATACTCTTCCATTTTCTCAGTTGTTGTAGTTGTTTATATTTCAATGCGGCCCTTTTTACTCAAATGTACTGTTCTCAGTTCTTTTTTTTGACTAACACTCTTCTCAGTTCTTGTTCTGACCCTTTTTCCTTCTGAATTAAAATATGGCATGGAATGCACCATTTCCATCTTTCAATCAAAAGGCAGTGTGCTACTTAAACGATCATGGGAAGGACTATAAAGGTGGAATTTTGCAGTTTCAGGATGGTGAACCTTCCTTTATTACTCCAGTTGCTGGTGTAAGCTAATGCATTTTGATTTACAGTTTGCATGCATGCATTTTTTTTAATAATTAAATGAATATATATTCTTGGAATTTCTGAGAAGTACTGTTGTTTTCAGGATGTTGTCATCTACACTGCAGATAATAGTAATACCCATTGTGTAGATGAGGTACATTTCTGTTTCCTGCATGGGCCAGTTGATTGTTTCTGTACTGGGTTCATGCCTATTCTTTTCATTGGCATTGTTTGTCACATTTTCTGTTTTCACTTGGATAATCAGCAAGATGTTAGTATATCTGTTACTATTATTGTTGTTTTGATGAATCAAATAAAATTATTTGTTTGAGTGTGCTCTAAGTTGCAACAGGTAATTGAGGCTACATTTTGTTATCAATGATTTAGTCCTAATTTATGTCTATCCTTTTCCCTTGCACCTTGTTTTTTGTAAACAATCAATTCATATGTGGCCAAAGTATTATCTTGTCAAGGGATTTTATTTTTCTTCTGAGGTTGATGCGTGCCCTTTCTTGTTTATTAATAAAGTGCAGCTATTTTTGCAGGTGACTGAAGGTGAAAGACTCACCCTAACTCTTTGGTTCACCAGAGACAGTGCTTATGACGAGGACCCAAAGCTCCTTTCCTTTCTTTCTCAGACATCACTGAACTATGAACCAGTTCATCAGAGTTCTTATATTCCTTTGCCAGCCTCTGATATAATGTATTGGTTTGCCTATGACCATTCTGGTTTTGACGTACGATGTGCTAGAGTGCACATTCTTGGGTTCTCTTTCCACTCAAGCATTGATGAAGACAATAAATCTGTTGCACCTGCTGAAGATGACCCTATAGAGTTGCTTGGGAAGCCAGTACGACTTGGTAGGGGAGATGATGTCTTTGACAAAGTTTTTGCCAATGGCTTGCATGCTCTTCAGGTATCTACATACTTTCACTTTTTAAGTAGTTTTAGTCTGCAGATCATGTCCATTAGATTACAATAGTCAAACTTTATTATCCTTTACTGCACGTGTAAGATGCCTTTATTTCAATGTTATAGTCTAAATCTTCATGAGAATGCTATAACAACAGAAAATTCTGTGGTTGTATTAGAGAATGACATTCCTCAAATAAGTTGACATCTTTTAGAAAATACAAATAAAAAATTATTTATGCCCCATTAGAATATGCTTTTTTTTTCTAATTCCTTTACAAAAGGAACTGTTTCCTATGATATTCCTGCTTTCCAAACATGGCATTCAAATGTGTTATATCCTGTTCTGTTAAGCGTGTCAGTGTTCTATGATTTGCAAATCTCTGAAACAGGTGGTGCAGTTTTACTACTGGAAAGCACCTGAGCTGTCAGCAAAGAGGAAACAAACTTCTGGTGGTTCAGGAACAGTCTGCTGTCCTGTTAGTCAATCCAGAGGAACAAAACTACCATTGCCATGCAACCATGGCCTTGAACAAACCATATTTGGATCACATAAGAATGTAGAGATTGATTTTGAATGGAGTGATTTTGAATTAGCCGTATCTATGTGGGAGAATTATTCAGAAGAATTGCAGAGAAAGCTGTTGACATTTTTGCCATATTGGCTGTCCAGTGAGGCCATTTTTATTGTCAGTTCCTGTTCTCCCCAGGTATGCACTGAAGGGAACTAAATGTTGACCTGATAATTTCAATACATTAATAGTAATAACGTCGCGATGATGTTACCTAGAATTAGTTTCAAATTATAGTGTTTTTTTTCTTTGAAAAGAACGATGTGTCAAGAATGTTGGATTTATCTAGCTTTGCATTTTGGAGAGCTTTTATATGGCATGTTAAAGCCTCATTTTACCTTTCATAACTTGCTTGCCAGAATTTTCATTATAATTTTATTCTGTTATATGCAATTTTTATTCAAATGGACACGTACACAACTCTGTACTGAATTACAACCTTTTTCCAGAAGCAGTAACTAATAGCCGTCTTCACCGACACATGCTTGATTATCATAGATCAAATTTTCTTTTCATTGTCTCTTTTAAATGAAAATACCAGCTTAGAAACCCCCAAAGTCTCTCTCTCTCTCTCTCTCTCTCCAAAGGTTATATGTGAATGCTTGGCAATACTGAAGAACCCTGATGCCGATATGCAAAGGTCACTACTAGCTTTTAGAGTTTTAAGCCTTCTTTGTAAATTATACATGGCATAATCGATGGTCCTCTGGCAAGAAGTTGTATGAATCAGATCTAATGGATACCATACTGAACATCTCTTTTCCTAGTCTAGTAGGATGGTCTCGGCCTTGTCTCAAATTTCTTTAGTAGATCAATCACATGCCATGCTTAAATACTTTCCTATTTCCTTTCCGGTCCTCTTCCCTTGCGTGCCACAATAATGCATTCAAATTTGATACAAATATCTTAGCCAAGCTAATTCTCCGTTTTGTGGTTTTGCATCTGCCTCATGCTTCAGTGATATAGGTGGAGGGCTGGAGGTAGTTTGCTTTGCTCTTGCTCCACTTGTACAAGATGTTCCCAGAAACATCATAAAATATGAAGTCAGCTTGGTCCTGGTTTATCTGGAGGGACATGAACCCTTGTCCATCGTAAAAGAACTGGAGCTTATCAGAATTTGGCTGCAAGACTCCTCTCCATGCTTTTGAACCACCTCCACTTGTGAAGTATTGGATAGGACTGTAACAATAGGAGTGCATGCATTCAGGTTAGACAAGTTTCATCGATTATGCAAACATGTTTTGTTCTATATTACTGTGACATAAAAGCGGAAACTTTGTGTCAAATGATGTTAACCTGTCTCTGCTGCTAATGTGTTCCAGGCAGTGGTCGTGCCCATTGATGTAGAAGTCGATGCCATTGACCTGAAATTCCATGAAACAGTGATAAGGAAGTACTCTTTTTGTGGATCCTTCAGAACTTAATATCGAGGCAACTTCTGTATAACCTTCAGAACTGGAAGTAGAAGTTGCAGAAGCTCCTTGGTGTCACCATGGTCACTGACGCTCCTAATGGTATGATGCCCAACAGCAATCTTCCACTTCGCTGTTGATTTCTTCATTGCCTCATCCATATCCTAGATAGTAGACCCCATAAAATAAAATATTAAAACAATTTTGCTCAGCAACCTAGGAATAGCTTTTTTTTGTTCTTAAGCATTGATGACTGTTCCATTCCAAATGCGCACCTTAAGTAGATTAGTTATGTATTTTTGTCGAGGTGCCACTCCTCTCCAGTCATAATGATGGTCTTTAGGGCGAGTCCAATATTTCAGCTGAAATGGAGTTGTGTCGATAAAGAAGAAATCCACAATCTCTGAAAAAAAAAGGTTGATGACAGATCATACAAAGTTAGCGTTGTTTTGCACGTTACAGTTCAGAACTCTATCATCATATCCAAGTAGTAACCAAATACTGCATTTTTTTTCCTACCTGCATTAACAATGAACGACCTCATGCAAATGAATCGCTGGTCGATCTTTCGCAAGACTGGGCTAAGCTGTGCTAGCACATCACCCCTGTAGTCATGATTTCCCAGCACTGAAGAAATGTTCATGTTTTAGTACACGTTCAAATAACATATTAGCATATTTCGTAACAGGGGTACTTGGTAAATGTTATTGGTGACATAAGTGACAAGAAGCAGAAAGCTTACCCAGGTACCATGGCTTCTGCAAGCTCTTTGCCGTGTAGATATCGGTAAACGATTCCTCAAACGCCTGGTCATCGACGCCAGTGAGTCCATCCTCGTAGAAATTGTCACCGGTGGATATGACGAAGTCTATATTTAGCTTCTCCCCAACCTTCCCCATCTGCATGATAAATTGTCCATACTTAATATTGTTTGTCTTTGCTATTTAAAAAATAATACCTTCAGTTTTAAAAAAAGTATTCACTTTAATAATACAAATAGAAAATAATGGTCAAGAGATGTCTTCTGAAAACTGTCCGCTGCTAATCCCAGAAATGAAGGTAGCCATTTCACTGGAGGTAAACTGTTAATTGCTCGAGCACACAACAAGAGAATAGTTTCTGATCACATCGGCCAGTTCGGTAATATGGGCATCTGCGTATTGGCAGTTCTACTCTGATATTCTCCCCTCCCATTCCTTCATTCGGCCGCGCGCCCATACCGGCGGGCAGAAGACCAAAAGAAGCCCACGCCATCGCGGCGTCGTCACCGGCGACTTCGTCAGTTTAAACCATACGCGACGAAATGCCAACTGGCGAAGCAAGCAAGCAACCAACCAACCAACCCAGCACTGTACGCACACGCCATCAACTGCCAAACCGAATCCCATCTGGACTCCCTCCCCCCCATCTCGCCGTCTCCTCACTCTCTCTCTCTCTTTTCCATCCAATCCAATTATCCGAGCCCGTAATGCGCGGTTAGGACCTTAAAACGGCCAGCTCAAACCATGGATTTACCGCAGCAATTAGAGCAAAATTTAACAACTAGAGTTAAATCCCGGGAAGCGAGGAAACGGATCGCGGCCGACGGAGGAGGAGGGGGCGTTTGGTTTTACCTGCTCGGCGACCCTGGATTGGTTGTACGTGCCCTTCCGGCCCCAGTCGCCGACGACGAGCAGGCTCAGCGACCCGTCGCTCTTGGCCGGGTGCTCCACCCGTACGAGCCCCGACGCCGTCGCCGTCGCGGCCAGCAGCGCAAAGACGGCGGCCGTCGCCATGGCCGCGCACGCTCTGCTGCTGCTCCTCCTCGCCATGGCCAGCGACACCTGCACTGCCCTCTCTCTCTCTCTCTCTCTCTCTCTCGGTAACGAGAGGCTCCGGGTTAGGAGGCTATTTGTACTGGAGTATGTAGATGATAGTGATTTGCAAGGACAAGTTATCACCTGGTTAGGTTAGGTGCCTTTGCAAGCGTAGTTGTTAGGAGGAAAAGAAATTAAAGCAACTGGTGATTGAAATGGCTGGCTGGCTGACGACGTGGCCTCTCCCTCCCCTTTCTGTTTGTGTTTGTGTTTGGGCCTTTCCCTGCTTGCTTGCCTCGTCACAACTCACAACACAGGCTCACAGAGTATTCTCATGCCGTTTGTCTGGCCGGCCGGCCGGCGACGTCAACGTCGTTTTCACTTTCGTGTCACGAACAGCCACGATCGCTGTCTATTGCCACGGTAATTATGGTTTTGCTTTCCCTTTCCCAACACGCGTGTGGCGCGCGCGCGCGCGCATAAGCGCGCATTATTGGAGGCTACTAATTATTATCAGCGTATGTATGGGCCGCCGGGCTCCTCAACTTGCGTTGCGCCGATGGGAAAAATTGGGTTATCTTCCAGCGAAGCCAGTCACGTTTTGGACATTCCCTGCAATAAACAAAACGTGTGTGTGCGTAGCGGCTGTCTTTTTGTAGTTTCGCAATAATAGTACTCCTAAAAAAAATGGGTCTTGGGTGACCACCACCATGTGCGGCTCGAGCCATGTTAGCATCGCTGTCGGGGACAAACGACGCTGCCTGTGGTTTTACTTGCTCAGTTGAGTCCTTTTATTTTTTTGTAGAGAAAAGTATTTTTTACCCGGTCTCAGTTGAGTCCTACTGCATCGCATGGTATCGCGGCCTTTACTTGGGCCGGTCAGGGAGAGGAGAGAACGGTAGAAGGAGAACACAGCTCGGACAGGTAAGAACTAGCCGAGGAGCCAATTGGCTCGCCATCCTGCACGTTGGAGACGGCGCTTTTTATATATTTTACGAACGAAACCGAGGCGAGATGTGCACGCAAGTTGGAGCTCCGGTGGATCATGTTAGGTTTGGCAAGTTGTTGCTGCCATAACGTTAACGCATACTAGTGTTTTTCTCCTTATACGGGTTGTAGAAATACCGTGCGCGTTGCATCTGATCGCCGTTTCTGGATACAGCCGGTATCACCATCTTTTTCTGTGCTATTACAACTTTTTCGTTGCTTGTAGAATACGAGTATACGAGTGCCTGAACCGGTGGTACTTTGGACCTTTTGGTAGCATTTTGCCGAAGCAATCGTCGTGTCCGTATATAAGTTTGTAATCAAGCGGTGAAGTTGCTGTCCCGGTGCGAATATTCGAGGTGCATGTTCCGAGGGGTTGATTACTTGATTTTTGGTCGATCACTTTCACCATAGTTCACTTGGCATGATCCTTGGGATATTCGTTGGTGCCGTATCTCTCTGTGTGCTCCAGCACTAGTCGAGTCGTCATGATCCATCCTAACCATCCATCCGTCCAGGGGCGGATCCAACCGGGAGGTGGGGTTCGAGCCTCCACTACTAATATTAGTACTATTGAAGTACTCATAAAGACTCACCGTTTTTTATTGAGTAAATTTTACAAAACTACACGTTTTATAGTCCAAGTTGCAGAAAACCACACACACTTTGACACTTGGTACTTAAGTACAAATATTTTGGTAGTGTAGTTTCACAAAATCACACTATCAATGAATGGATTCACCCGCGAGATGATGTGGCTCTTTCACATAAGACGAGGACATGGTATCCTATTACTAGCCATCTCACGAAATTAATAGGATATACTACGTCATCATCCTAAATGGAGCAACCACGTCATCTCACGGGTGAATCCATTCATCGATAGTGTGTTTTTGTGAAACTAAACTACCAAAATATATGTACTTAAGTGTCAAGTGTCAAAATGTGTGTGGTTTTCTCCAACTTAAACCATAAAACATATAGTTTTGTGAAATTTACTCTTTTTTTTTTGCCATACACAGACGGAAAAGAGGGATGTAGCTTTGTTCTAATTTGTTCAGACGTCTGCTATTTCTTCCTGAATCCGCCTCTGCATCCGTCCATTCACCGCGAGAGTTTTGTCGTGCACATGCGATGTGTGACCTTGTCGGAACAGCTCCAGTAATTTATTTTTTGCTGAGCCGTCGATATAGATCTACGGCCAGTTTATTAAGATTTTGTGAAGTTTATAAAAAAAACAACAAAACTAGTCGGGAAAATACGACCCTTCTGCAAAGGAGATATTAAGACTATACCAGACTCTATCAATCGTCGAGTAGTATACTACCACCCTGCGCATTTGTCTCAGAAACGGGAATGGTCTACCATTACTGTTTGTGTAGTAGCTGCAGTTAACAGTTGGGCCTCATAGTCCATGGAACCAAATTTAAAACCTTCAGATCTGCTCTAAAATCCGTGCTTCGTCTTCGTCGAGCTCCGGTGAGCCCCAACTTAGAGAAGTGGCCGAGACGGTGGTGACGACCCAACAATTGGAGCTAGTTTGGACAAAACCACTTTGCAAATTCTTTGGAAAAAAAACACTTCGCAAAATTGTCGAGGGAATTTGTACTAGTTTTAATAGTCGAGGGCATAGGCGGACACAAGATTGCTCCATGCCTTTGCTTATTGGACCAAGAAGAAAATCATATGGTGAAAATACATACGTTTACATAAGCTTTGCCACCCAAGCCTTAGAGCATCACCAAGATATTGACTAATTAAATTCCATTACAAAATTTTCCTTTATGAGAACTCTAAACATCCCTCCAAAAGATTGGATAACATTGACTCCTTGAAACAAAAAAGTGAGCCCCATGCGAAAGTGAAACTACTCTTCTCCTAGACGATTATGATTTGAACGAGGCAGGACGGTGTGATTGGGAACCTCGTTCGTTCCTTACAAGTCGAGAGTGCGAAATACGGGGATGGCAACTCCAAGTTTTTGGCAATAGAATAGGGAAACGGTTGGAGCTACCTTTTGATTAAGGCAAATTTTACTACAGGACACCGTGACTTCGCGGGTTTAGGTGTAGGACACTGTACGAGTTGACTTTTGGGAGAAAACACTCCCAAAAGTTGGATATTTGCTGATGGACACCACACGCATTGAAGTAATAATTTTCGGTTAAAGAAGAGAGAAAAATCACGCGAAATGTCAGAAATGCCCTTGGACCCACATGTCAGCTCTCCTATCTCTCTTCTTTCTATCCAACTTTTGGGAGTGTTTTCTCTCAAAAGTCACTTCGTGCGGTGTCCTATAGTTAAAATCGCAAAGTACGATGTCCTGTAGCAAAATTTGCCTTTGATTAAAAATCCCAAAAATTCATAAATGAGAACGGAGTACATAATCTCTTGGTGATGCTTGGTCATGATCCAGTTTACCTGGGGCCTGAGTCCATCACATAGTTTAGGGAGTTTCATGAATGGTTTTGCAGTTGAAGAAATGGACTTTTCCCTTGAATGCTGTGGAGACTGAAGAAGTGAGACTTGTCACTTGTGAGATCGCAGAAGCGCCGATAGGCCTGCTACCGCAAGCTGGGCCCACGAAAACAAATGGAAGTTTACGTGGCCCGTTTATCACCCGGCAATTAAGCCCATAATGTAGAGGCGCGAGGCTTTCGAGATCCCGGAAGATTATTTGGGCCATAGTTTCAACGCGAGCCCACGAAAGCCAACTGAAATCCTGTTGGGCCAACGTACTAGGCCCCGAAGATTATTTGGGCCATTTTTTCACGGCGGAGTCGGCCTGTCAATGAAGGTGGGCCGCAAATTTGATCGCTGCCACGTTGCCATGGGGCCTCCTCCCACCGACCCACTAGCTTGTGCGGCCCGGCTGTAGTATAGAAACAGGAAGGAGCGGCAGATTTACGGATAAGCCCGTGTACTATGGCTTAATTAGTACAACATGTGCTTGCGATCCAATCCCGGGCGTTAATCTGATCGGCCCATCAGTTTGTACGGCACAGATCGAATATCATTACGAGGAGGGAACACGCTTTTTGCATCCACACCCTTCACTACTTATTATCAACTGCAGCTTACATTACTACTCCCTCCGTCCCATAATAGAAGGGATTTTAAGTTTTTGTTTGCATTGTTTGACCACTCGTCTTATTCAAAAAATTTATGCAAATATAAAAAAACGAAAATTTGTGTTTAAAGTACTTTGGATAATAAAGTAAGTAAAAAAAAAATAATTCTAATTTTTTTTAATAAAACGAGTGGTTAAACAGTGCAAGCAAAAACTCAAAAATCTCTTATATCATAGGGATGGAGGGAGTAACTAATAAGGTTTCATTGTGCCGGACAGAGAATGCCGTCAGGTGGCGCGCCGGCGGCCGGCGACGGAGGCGCACAGCTCACCGGCGAGGCGGCGGTCGAGCGCGGCTGCACCCGCGGGTTATTCCAGCGACAATTTTGGTGCTTCGTGTGCATCACAATCAACAATAACAAATTTGAAACTAGCATCAACCGGACAAAACACACCGATAAATTTTTAAAGATATGGCCGTTAGCATGTCCATAAAAACGACAAGGCGTATGCTTTAGTTTACTTGCATGATTAGCTCTGTTCCTCCTTCCTGTCACCACCAGCTAATGATCCTTTGTAAAAGTATAGCAAACCTAGCTAGCTAAGTAGCTGCTAGGCTCACATTTTAGTTAGCTTAACACGCCTACTTTATGATGATATAATCCTCTTAACTGCACCACGACATTGCTGTCTCAATCACGAGGCGCAGCACAAAATCACATGGCCCAAGTCCGTAATTAGCAAGCCTTGGCGCAACAAGACACCCACAAAATTGCAGTTTGATGCTTCCTTAGTCGGCAATAATTTCGGTTATCAACTAACTAATTCTGCTTGTCTTTACCTTTGCTCCGACCTACGAGCGATCACCGGCGGCGTCCACTGACGAAATGGGGCCAGCTGGGTGTGATCACCTGTGCAGTGTTACATCATGAGGAGGGATAATTAACAGGAGTAAATAAGCTTAGTGTTCGTGCTGTCACTGCTGTGATTGTATCCGACAGACACACCTGACAAACACAGAGCAACTATCTAGCTCCTGCCAAAACTGTTGCTGAAAAAAAAAAGAAGATTTAAGCTTGTTATGCTACTTGACAATTGACATTTGCTAGCTACTCCGTATATCACAGTGAGCATAAGAAACTTCAGAATTCAGATTGTCCGAACAGCAATACTGTTGTAAAAGATTGAGATGGATTTGTGACAGAATCATGCAGTGG